CGTTCTTCTATTTGCGGAAGCCATTGAACGCAGGAGCGCCCCGTGTGTTGGAAGAGAATGCTTAGGTTGTGAGTGTGGTGTGCTTGCGACATCATGACGTACCATCGTTTCTTAAACAATTGAAAACCTTTCACTAATTTGAGAATCTATTACTTGACCTCAAAAACAATTAAGATGGAGAACTATTTTTTTTGAACTGGGCATGCAACAAATGAATCATTTTCCCGTCGATTAGTCCGCCGCGGCAGTTTCGTGTACGAGCTAGGAAATTTCGTTTCAGTTTGTACCAGAAATAATTTAGCTCTTCGTCTCATTATTTAACATTAATTCTGTTCGTTACAACTTTATTTACGCACTCCAGCTTATATTTTGTTATTAAAACTGTCTTGGAGATCTGGCTTGCTAAACAATCTTTTCGAGTTGATTTCTTTCTTCTGGTGTCTGTTTCATCGGCCACATCGGTCTTGTGACATCTTAATTAACAAGTTTGGCAATTTTTTCCTTTTTACGAATTTCTGACAGCAGATGAGTGGATGCTATTTTTTGCATTCATTTATCTATTTGTATTGAATCATCTGCAATTACATATCTTAGCACCAACATGCATCGTTTGCTAAACGTTTCCTATGTAAGTGCGATGATTACTGCTAAATCAAAGGCAATATGCACTTTTGACCATTAAAAATATTCTTATTTTGTTAAGGCTGCAAAACTTTTATGGAAATGTATGTTTTAGTAAACCAAAATTGGTTTTTATTTCTGAGATTTTTAACAACGCCGGTGCAGCACTTGCCGCAACAGGAAACGTTTCAGTTATAATGATTGCTAATTATAAAATTGCATCCGATCCTGTAGCTCCTTTCCCATGTTATCGTTGTAATTAACCGACACAAACGAGACGATATTTTAATCGTTTATTTGTTTACCGCTTATGTGTCGTTAGTTCACACCTGGCACTGTGAACGCTGCATTCTTCGCATTACTCTGCAGCTATTGTTTGGTGTTACGGTTTGAAAAAATACATGTAAAAATTGAAAAAAATTCAATATTTACAGTTTGTAACCGAACTTTGACTTCAATTTTGGGTCAAATACAATTAAAAACGCTCTAATAACTTAGAGGATATTGAATTTGATGTTATTCAATTCAAATTTCAACGTAATTAGAAATTATTTTTCTCTATAAATAACCATGCGCATGAAAGGATGAGGCGCGTATGTTTGAGAGTAATAAATCAAATTACACAGGATTGTAATCATGTAATTTTCTAAATAATAAATGTCAGTTTTTACTGGGAGTTTAGATCCATCGTTATCTATCAATCTTTAGATCTCGTGGCCTGTTACGCTTAGGTGAACTACGATCATTCGATCAGACGTGCTATTGAATCATCAATCGTGTTTTGACGCCGTATCAAGCCCGTCGTGGAGGTTGACATTCGTGTGCATGACGAACATATACCAATATAATATATAATACCAATATATTTGAGGTCTGCAAACAGTTTAAGCGGCTGTGCGTGACTGTGCAATGTAATTTAAACTCTGCAATTAAGAAAATTTCTTCCAAGTATTGTTTAACGCATATCCAGCTTATGTTTACGAGTTAGCTCTCATATTTTTTAGGTTCACAAGGGAGAAGAGGGATTGTGCATTTAATTGTTGCTTCCAAATTTAATGACTAACTTATAAATTGAATATACGATGTTAATGAATGTCCTAAACATATAACCTGGTTCGTGACTTGGCCGCGACATCACCTTGCGACTGTTAACGTTCCTGTTATGTAGTTCGTTACTCTCTCTATGATTTACTGCTCAGTTTTATTTCTTTTATCATATTTAAATTGTATGCAATGAATTACACGGCATCCAGCGAAACTTAAAGCATAGAATTGAGTAAAAAAGTCAGCAGTCATTCTTACTTTATTTTGAATAGGAATTGAATCAACTATTATTTTGAATAGCAACTGATTCCATTAATTATATATTGCATAAAGTTATGCAGGATCCCGATGAATATGTCACTTTTTACGTCTCACGTGACACATGAACACGTTAACTACGTCGTTTACATGGCAGGAAATGAGCAGCCGTCACGCCAGGTATTCCACTTATTTTATTCACTCTTTATTGTGATTGCCCTGCGTAGCTGCATAACTAATTCTGTTCAACGTGCGATAAAGTGCATTATTTTACACCTGCATCCTCTGAGGATGTGGCCAGCATTTGTTGATATGAGCTATGTAATTTTTGAAATAGCAATCGTCACTAAAATTTTTGGAGTATTCTAACGCCGTAGTTTTTATACATATTTGTTTGTAGGATAGTTTAAAATTTAGTGAAGAAAACGTCATCGACATTTTTTTACGTTCATTGCTTGGCTACCCTGCATGGTTAAAATTCACATTTATGGATACTTTGGAGTTTCTTTCCTGTTCAAAGCTGAGCTGTTCGTTCCGAGACTATTTCAAAGCTAGGCAATTTGATGCAACCAACGCACACTTGCTGCTTTGTGTTGCAAGTATTAACTGCAAATACTGACGCATTGTGAGTCATTGGCGGAAGATGATTTCACGAGCTGTTGAACGACACAAGGCCGTACGATACCCGGCTTGTAAGTGTCGAATCCATTTATTACGTGAAATGACTTCGAATTTGATGAATTCTGCGTTTAGTCTCTGAGTATTGCGGCCGATAACGTCATCAAAGGCCACGATTGCTGTAAGCCTCGTTATTGATGGAAAGGATTATATGTAAGTGCACGGAAACTAGGAAGTTTTGTCTAGCATGCAACATTTTTTATTTGTACAAGTTGGCCGTATGACCGATTCATCGGAAACAGCTGTTGTGATGTAAATATTAAAAAAAAAACTTCCAAATAATTCTATATTTAGAAACACAAAATGCAAGTTGCCTAAATAAGATTTCTTCTCGATTAGAGGAAATAAAATTAAATCAAAATTTTCTTTAGTGGTGGGGTCGAAAAGGAGTATGGAACTGTATGAGTGAATGGAAGGGAGTTCGAAATTGGTTATTGCAGTGCAACGTGGCTGTGAAGGGGTCAGTTATAACGTGCCGTGAATGAGTGATTTGCGTTTTCTGATGCCGCAAAGTCCTCTACGAAGTTTAATAATATTCCTAATTTTGTCCGAATTATCCACAATTTTAAGCAATGCTTTTATTTCCTAACCCAGTTGGAGTACTGTTTTAAACGTATAGAGATTCATCACTGTGAAAGGAGTATTAATGCAACTGATGTTGCAGTGATAGCAGCTCTGTATGAAAAGGACGTTCTGGGTCGCCATCGAAACAATGGTATTTGTAGAGAAGCCACATCGTCTGGCGGTGAAGGGCCCGCTCCTATGTGTTTAAAGACACATTCCTCCTCCACCTGCTTTGTATTAAGCGTGGCCTAAACTTGTGAACTTTCGCTGGCGCCAGTGACTTCAATGATAGTGTTGTGTTCAAGTCAATTGAATAGACATTTCTAATGACAAGAAGAGAGAGATTCGCGACATTATTTTTTGAAGAGTTTCTGTTTTGACAGTATCAACTTACTTGCAATGGTTTAGAATGCGCGGGAATGCGAATTGAGAATTAAACCCGAGTCTTGTAAAGAATTTGTGCACGGGTCCCGCGAATTGTGCTCGAGTTTAACTTTCAACGCAGTAATAGAATGTCATTTTTTCCATCGATAATCATTGTATGTGCGTTCTAAAATAACTGAGATTGTGTTTAATTTATTTCATTAGCTTAATAATTTAGCTTATTTTTTTATTCTTTTATATTGTTTATTTGATTTTATAATCCAACAAAATGTCGCCTAAAACATATATATTCACCACCATATCACCAAGTTTATCTTCTCTTACACCTTGATCTCCTTTGGACTTGTGAATCCTCATTCTTATTTGTTTTTACATATTACTTAATTTTTCCGGTATTAAAAAGAATAACTCGTGTATACGCTAATTGAAAAAGGTTTTAAATTTAAATTACGACTTTTTTGTTGATTCATCACACTAGTAAACCGGACCAGCGTTTAACTCACAGTTGAAGGAATTTTAGTGCGCGGAGATCAAAAATAAAATAAACTTTTTATGGCTTATATTTTCCGTTTACTTTTATAGCGCCAAATCTAGTCCTTTGAAAGTAATGATGCATTATTATCTGATTGTTACGTTTCGGAAATTCGGACTATAAATAATAAGGCAGAAAATAATTAGCGTAATTATTGAAAAAATTCATAACACTTAGTTTATTATTCACACCAAACTTTCTTATTCTTTGTTATCAAAATGTAACACAGCTTTCGAAATTTTGATGAGCTACAAGTACAAGGCCAAAATGAGAAATCATCAATCGCATTTTTAACTCAGTTTGTCCTATTCTCTGTATTTTCTATGAGATGAAGATAGCTCATAGAAAATATCTACTCGTGCTCGCTATTTATTAAGTAGACTATTGTATTTTACTCACGTGCGTGGCAGACAGAGTGACGGAGCTGCACTTCATTTAAGCAACCTGCACTCTCGTAGTTGTTATCATTTTTGTGTATAATGTTCAGTACTGGAGTGTTAATTTTTTCTACTGATAAAAATATAAGTTATTTTTTATTTTTTTGCACTACTCTCTAAATAAGATGTAACCGCTTCAACACAGCCGAAATCTGGTTACGTTATCATCAACGATGGTATTCGCGTTCAACTGAAACGAAGATGTTAACGATACAAGTCGCCAGAACGGTCCACAATACGAAATTTATATGAAAATAATTTAATCGGAAAGCCTCACATAACAAAAAAATATTTATAAACCTAGGTAACTGATGAAGAGCGTCTTTATGCCATACCGCATTGGACGACATCAAGACTACATATAACGAAACGTGGTAGAAACACAAGTCAGACTACATATTAGCAATTAAGAAATTTTTGAAAACTAGTAAATAGGAATCCATTAATATGTTTAATAGACACATTGTCTCTTCTTTTGCCAGGTGTTGAGAGGATGGAAGCAGAAGTATGAGGTACTGTTGGGTCTCGTGAAGGAGCCCGTGCGTTTGCTGCCGGAGTCGCTGACGCAGGAGGCGGCCATGCTGCGCGCCAAGCGTCAGGGCTTCGCCATCGAGCGAGCGCTGGTGCAGGCCAACATAGACGCCTGGGAGAACACGGGCTGTGCCAAGACCGTGCGCCGCTTCAAAGACAGGTGCGGCAAACACTTGTGTCGGATTAATGCAGTGACATATTTGACGATTTTTCATAATTAACGATCTATTTTTAAATCGCCTCAAAGGTATAATGCAGAGATTCGTGAAAAAATGTATGTAATTTATGGATTCAAGACCGTGCGCCGCTTCTAAATTGAAATAGGCTTCTAAATTGAAATAGGCTTCTAAATTGAAACATGGGCACAAAATATGCCCTTCTTGAGGCAATTTATCAAAAGAACCAGCACCTTACTAAAAAATCCATTACAGTTGCAACTCTTGATGGTAACGTTTAGAATTCGCACGCTTCCTTGATTTATGTTATAAAACTGCATGTTGAATCCTTTCAACTAAAAATTAATTTAAATTTGATTGTTCAGCGAAGCTAAAGACGCATTGTATTAAACTTATCATTTTATTACGGTTGTTCTATGCTGCTTTCAGTCTTAACGTCTGGATTGTTCTTATCAGTTTCTCTCAACGATATACGCTGGTAGGAATATTCCCTTCACTGTCGTCCGAGCACCATAAACATGTGGAGCAATTGTTCCATGAGGAATTGTTTGGTCGTAGACTCGTAGGCGTATCCTGCTGTCTTTCATGCCTCAGGACAAGTCCTGATCCAAACATCTATTAAACAAACTAGCATCCTGTAATAGGCTCGTTTTTAGGTCACAGTCGGGCGAGTTACGGTCTTTCAATTCACTGTCCGAGCTCGATGAACACGTACAGTAATTATTCCATACGAAGTGTAAGTTGATCGAATCCCATTGGCGTATTTTGCTGTCTTTTAAGCCTCAGGACGTGTCCGGGTCCAAGTATGTGGTCCACAAACAAGTGTCCTGCAGTAGGCTCGTGTTGAGGTCACAGTCGGCGAGCTGTATGCGGCGCGTCGACAGTTATTGCGACTCGCTTCGCTGAGTTACAAAACACGCGCGCCAGTTACTGAGATGTCCCTCTTTCTTTTACTGAATTGGAACTGCAAGTTTAGTATGCTCGAGGTATCATGAAAGCATTAGAAATAATGAGTCTGGCAGTTTCGTGATTGCAGCCTGAATGGGCTATAAGAATGCGACAAATTTGATGATGCCTTTGTAAATATACGACTCTAATTATTTCACCTCTATTTAATTGGTTCTGTTTTCAGCTTGCATAAGCATAAAGTTTTCTATGATTGAGGTTTTATTTTCGGGGTATATTCGGCTGATATAGAGTAATGTATAAATTGAAACGATTTACCATGATTCATACTAGTGGATATATCCCATCCCACATTTTCCTTTAACTATTTCCTAAACGCAAATGTTTCCGTGTTCTTGCGACGTGTTGTATTTTTGAATGAACAAATTCCTAGCGACCTTTGAAATCTTTTGAAAGCTTAACAACGATGACTATAAAAATAAGTCCCAACAAATCGAACGGCTTACTTCCACGAAGCTTTTTTGACGTCACTGAGGATCGGCTTGACCGAAAAGGCAATTGTTTCGTGACTGAACTGCCTCCTGCTGATTTTTAGATTAATGGTTTAAAAAATTTAATGGTCGATTCTAGGATAAAAATATTTTTTTTGTAAATCGACCTCAGACCGGATGAGATTCGTCAACGTGATCCATCGCCTGTAGCTCTGTGGTGCGTTCTAGAGATTATCTCAAAAATAGCTTCAAGTGCTATTGACTATCGGACTATTCGACGACAACATTATTTTCTTTGAATTTCTTTGTCGGGATATGACCGTGGATCATTAAAAGGACATTTATATCGATCTTATTAATACTTCAGAGGCGAAGAGAAACGTAAATAATTTCCTATCTAACTTTGGTATATATCATAGCAATGTTGTAACTTATGCTTCAGAACTCAGTGTCAGTGCTTCACAGATGATTCTGCAAGAACTTAAGAAACACGAAGGCATCATGTCGTGTCGTAACGCGACTTCAAGGTTGATGCCTTGCTTGTTGTTAACGTCATTACTGTTTTCTCTGCACTGTGCATCTGCATCGCTGCTTACAATCGTTTTCGGTAATGTCACGATCTGTTCAAATAAATTTCAGTGAATATTCGAGACGAGTGTCTCTACCATAACCTCTCTGACACTTGCAAGTGAGTGGCTTCTCACTCATGTTTTTCATGCTTCAGTTTCTCAACAAACTCGAACAGATGATTCCATCACCTCTTGAAACTTTACGAAACTCTTGTATTCTGAACTGACACTGAGAAGCAGCCACCGGCGTGGAGTCCCGCGGCGGTTTAGTCTTAGTATTAACGCGGCTGCTCTCGTTGCAGGAGTTATGGTGCTTCGCGGGACTTCAAACAAGTCGTTATTTCTTCATTTCATTGTGTATTTCATTGACGGGAAAGCTCTATTCATTGTCTCATTTTTGAGGAAAACTTGGATGACTTAGAAAATTTTAAAAATAACGGAGCGTAAAGAAATAATACCATAATTAATTGCGTATCTTGTTGCCACATTGGTGATAATGTGTAATCTTGTTATGTTCTGTCAATCTACGAGTAGAAAATCATACAAACTCGTAGAGTTTACGAGTTGGAATGTCTAGAATTTACCACCGACTAGTATCTATATATGCATTGCTAATTCCATAGTCTGTACAAAATTTTATTCCTCAATCCTACAAGGCAATAAACCGTGAAATCGATTTGATGTTTAAATTTATAATGCTATATATCTGCTAATTATAGTGACAGTATACAAGAAGATAATTAACCCATGCTAAATAGACTCACAAGTGAAAGGTAAATACAATTAAAATATTTTGTTTGTACTTTGGGGATTGTACGTCCTGACCAAGTTCAACTTGGGGTTTGGGATTTGAGGAACTCTTGGGTTCTTCTTTTTTCATTGTTAATTTTTTGTAACATTCGCTTCGAGATGATGATGTGACACCTAATATTTATCGTATGAATTTAATTTATACCCACAAGTAATACATATTTTCATTGCCAAATTGCCGCAGGTTATTGCAGCAGGTTACCGTTCTATTTCACTACCATCTTTGTTTGAACTGGAAGACAGCGATTGCAATTTGCAAGGAACCGGTTTCACTTTCGTGACGCTTCTTTGTTTATAGTTCCAACTGCTATTGTTTATGATGAGTTAATGTGTTGATCCAGAGTCAAGAAACAGAAACTTGATGCTGGAATTGCAACACTGCTTTTGTGAGGCACCTTGAAAGATTTTTTGATCCGAAAACGGTCTTTCAAAAGCCACAACAATAAAAGACGTGTTTGGGCCTTTTTTCATGCGTCTTTCTCGAGAAGCTCAACTCACGTCTGCCTGATCACAATCGTTGTTTGATCGTGGGAGAAACGATGTTTGATGAAACGTTTACCTTTGCATCTCGTGAACAAGCGCTGGTTGCGAGGCCTCGTTCCTAATAAGAAACTAAGAACTCTTTGCCGCTCTTTGGTTATGAACTATTTTAGGAATTGCTTTATGGAAATGAAACTGATTGCGGAAACATGGAAACTCTGCTAGGGAACGAAACTGATTCGAACATAGTAACTCCGCTTGTGAATGTATTGATATTGAGCGCGCAATTCTCGAATTATATTGCGAGCAAAAGTCCACCAAGTTTTTTGTATTACATATCTGTTTGCAAAATACGTTATTCAAGACGGAGTGCAATTTATTTAGATAATTATTTAAATAACTGCAGCATTTATTTTAACGATCGAGGTACCAACCTCTTCATGAACGCGCAGGAAACATTAACGATTCTGTACAAATCTTATCAACAAATTTTGCCCTCTTACAACTGCGACCTTATATTGACACAGGCATAAAGTAATGAGTTTAAGTGGATAAGAGTTTGCGCGCACTCTACTTGTGCAAGCAGCGTGTACGTAACAGATCGTTTATCACCCGCTGGTAACTTTATTGAGTTAGGAGAAAGTTTGATGTCGGTATGTTCGTGCAGTCACAGTCTGGAACAGCGCCTGACTGACATGCTTTATGCTCGTGAGGTTTAGAAGACACAGTTTACTCTTAATAGGATTGTACTACAAATTCCTTTGCCTTTTTGGAATCTGAAAGGTATTTAATTTTAGCGATTTTGCTTACATTTGACGCTTGGATTTTCTTACGAAAAACTCTTTGATGACATATATGGTCTAAACTACATGACCATTCTATTATAGATGTTCTTTTGTGTCTTCCATGCATCCATGTAACTCAGGGGACAAATAACTTAATAAGCAACTTTTCTATTATACTTTTTGTGCTGTCAATGATTCTTGAGACATTGTTTCATTATAATATGTGTGTAGTTGAAAGTTACTTGGATTGTTTCCGTTTCCGTTATTGATCTGACTTTTGTCGGAATTTTTCCGAGCTCAGAACAAGTTTTGCCTTGTTTGCGTAGTGTTTATTCTGGTTATCACTTGAATTTTGCGAATTACAGCGAGCGCCAAAGAATTTTCATTCATGTTCTAATGTAAATTCTTGTCGTAATGTAAGTTTTCTATTCGGCAGACCCGAGAACATCCGTTCGCTCTACGAGCAAGTGGCAAACTTGGACTGCATGCTGACCTCGCTCGAGACTCAGATCGAAGTCATCACTTCGGTCCACTCCAGCCTCCCGAAAGAATTCCACGGTAAGATTTCCTCATTCCCGCACTTATGAACTGTGAGTCTGAGGTATAAAATAGGTATGCTCGTTTGCATGTAGTCCCTAACAAAATTCAAGCACTGCTTAAATTCTGCCCATGAATTGCTCCACTCGGCTTAGAATTATTCAGGGTCTACGTAGCCTCCCGATCGGAATCAGTTTCTGGTCAGGATGTCCTTTCCGACATTAGAGTCGCCTGAGAGTATGAGAAGCTTCTGCCACCAAGCCTAATTATACCGAGCTTGCAATCTGCTCAGAGGCTGCCCTTCAAACCGTGAGCCGACACGGAGTTAACGGACATAGAGAAGCTGATTTACGTGTTCCCCGAGCACTAGGTGGCACGTATTTCAAAGTCTAGCCCGCATCAAAATTTTGTTCCGATTAATTATTGAACATGTTATTTTCCGGGAGTGCGTTATCATTATCTGATTCTTTGATCAGTGGCTTCAGTGGTTTAGCAGCAAGTACTATAAGGAAACGTTCAGTGTGTGTAAATCATCCCGATTCGGCGGAAGAGCACAAAATATAACTCAGTACTCACTGCAGTGAGTGACAGAGAGCGCATTTTCTCGTCGACGAAAACTTGAGGTCACGGACAGACGGACGGAAAGACAGACAGACAGACGGACGGACGGACATGGCGAGCATAATTGTGCATTTTTTCCATAAATGAGAAAATGCGCTAAAAAGGATCCGGAAAGTGTAAACACATTTCAATATATATAAAATTGGAAATTTTCTTTTTGGAAGTTTTTAGGTCATTTCACTGGTTTATAATCGCTGTAAATTTTGATTCATTTTTAGCGCATTTTCTCATTTATGGAAAAAATGCACTATTATGCTCGCCATGTCCGTCCGTCCGTCTGTCTGTCTGTCTGTCTGTCTTTCCGTCCGTCTGTCCGTGACCTCAAGTTTTCGTCGACGAGAAAATGCGCTCTCTGTCACTCACTGCAGTGAGTACTGAGTTATATTTTTTTAACCTTATTTTTTCTTTATTCATAAAATTGTTTGTTTTGGTAATCATCCAGTTGATGATCACCTAATTCGTGTTTCCCCATTTTATCCATAATACCATTATACAAATAAAAATATCATTAATACAAATATAGTATTGTTATGTGATTTTTCCGCTACGCTGGCAATTTTCCACCTCGTATCCGCAATTGGATAATCTAACTCGCAAATTCTGCATCCTTAGTCCTTCGAAGAGTCAAAGTATGAAAGTATTCCCTAAAACCTTTTAAGTTTTCTATCTCTTTGAGCAAAAGTCTACGGGCCTAACAACCAATAGTTAACTTACTCAGTGAGGCGGAACGAAGGGTATACGTAGTGGTAATTTCCAAGATCGACATTGATGAAACGAACTCCATTTTCATAGTTCCAAAACAAATTTGAAATATAGACGTTTCTTTTGATATAAAATATTTTTTTTGTTAATCAAATTGTTTTCACAGACTACGTGCATTCACGAAGCATTGCATAATACGCAAACTCTTCACGATTAACAAATTGACCTCGGCTTTTCCCGAGGTCATTTCTCCTGAAACATTCATTTGTTCACCTTTTAAACACTTCTGTATCATGATTCATTCTGCATCGTAGTTTCTCGGGCGACCTTCATTAAAGTAATTAGCATTCTATAGGCCATTGTCTTATAAGGCGAGCCATGGCCTCAAGTTGATCACTCTGAACTCAAGGGTATTGAAAGTTAAAACGTATTTTCGTTGCTATTGTAAGATCGAGACCTAATTATAAGTTTGGAAAGAAATTAATTATTGTGAAAATGTATTCAGCCTTCTCTAATAAGTTCAAGTAAATCCGTTTCATTTATTAAGATCAAATTAAAACTACATTTTACTTATTTGCTTGATAATATGAAAAATTGTTTAGTAAAATGAAAAATCCAATGTGATTGATATAGGATGTATGGGAAAAATACAGCAAGTCTTCTTCCCATTATTTAATTTTTATCACCGCGAGGCATTTCTGGCTATGATTTCATACAGACTACGCGGAGATAATGCGACACGCGCGACGAATCATATGTGTTTTAAATGTTCGAATTTAATATGCTTTTAAAACATTCATAGTGATACGAGAATCTCCAGCTTAAGCTTGAATTTTCCTTCTTCTTATCTGTGTTTTAGTGTTTGTATAAAAGTATCCGTCATGTTCGAAATTTATTATGGAATCTTGAGTGCGTTCCGATTTCGTTCAACTCAAACATTGAACCTAACGGGTGATTATTTCTCGCATATTCATACCTAAGAGAATAATTAGGATATTCTATATCCAAAATAGATCCGCGAAGATCCAAATTCTCTATCCAAATTCAGTACATACGAGAAACCTTATTGCCGCGATCAAAATGAAACTTGCCATAATCGAACCTTCATTCAAGAATTTTGGCCGTCACTGTACGAGTTTTTGTACTTCCTTTAAATGCCGCTCACTGCGCTAGCTCCACTAGTGCGGCAATATTGCAGTCGTTTTAACTCGCTGGTCTGGTCAGTGTTCGTGCATCGGGTCAGTCTGCTGCGAACTGTGCCACGTGGTGGGTGCTCGGTGCGCGAGCTCTCCTCACTGATGTATTATGTCGGTGTAGATTTTTGTGGTATGCTCTTCGGGAAGCGAGCAGGATTACATTTAACTCTTTTCATGGAAGCGTTTCTATGATTTTGCGATTGCTTGTTCTGATGTAAGATCCTTGGAAAAATTTACTACTTGTTGCTTTGCAATCGAAAAATAGAAGAGCTGCCGACAATTTTTGACTTGAAGCTCGGTAATTAATTATGGAAATCCGTGTTTTGAAAACAGAATTTCAATGATGTATGGAAAAATCCAAAGGCATATTCTTGAAAATTATGTGAAATATCTGATTTAAGAAGCGCACAAGCACATGAAATCAACTCGAACATGGCTTGGGTTTTTGCGCCCGCTCTTAAATTTATCTAGTTATTCTATTTGTATTATTATATTTCATTTCTGTACTTCTGAATTTCCCTCAGTTTTTTTAATTCCACATTGAATACTTTTGAAGTTTTGTATCGATTAGCTTCGATATCAATTTTAATCTTGTCCTTAAAACAGGAAATAAAAATGCCTATATAAGTGTCAAAGTCTAATGTTTTTCGCTTTGATTTACTGGCTCTAATTCATTATTTTTCACGCAAAGTACGTAATCAGCTCTGAGCGTTTACTATCGTTGAGATTTCTTAGAACAATTCAGGTCTAAATATGATGGACGTGACGTAAGACTGCGAAGAAACGATAATGTCGTAAATTCCTTCGAAAGTGATAAAAAACTGCCTATATATTAGTGTGAAATGCTCTCCTGAAGCTAATTTTTTTAACGATCGCGCTGTTGTGATGAAGGTCATTTGGTCGCATGTATTTTAATATGGAATTCGAATATGGCTTCTTGCCGGGCAGTGAACTGCATGTCATCAAAGAAGAGGGGGAAGAAGGTGAGAAGAATTCAGGATTTTCATTGAAAAATATATGTAGATATTATACTAGCATACCCTTTCTGCATATTTATGAGGCGTGTATTCTGGTATTTCGTGATTTTGAGTGACTTGAACTATAGTTATTTATTTTGTTTAACGCGTGAACTGTAATTATTTATTCTCTTTGATGGAAAAGGAGCTTCTATTGCAAAAAATAATAATATGCGAATGAACTTCCTAATCTTTGGTAAGTCTAACGAACCAACTTATAAAAACTCAACCATAAAATCATAAATGATGAGAAATGTTGTACAAACGTTTAGAATAAGGTCTTCCGCGTAATTTTTTTAATGCACCGTTTTAGACGAATTCTTTTTCCAGTCGAAGTGCGTCGTTACGAGAGAAATTCCTCGACTTCTCGAAAGTGTAGGCAGAGCGTGGCGCCGTGAACGCGACGTCAGCCACCCGCGATGTGTACGGTCGTAGTTCTCAATGCCTGTTACTTTTATCAGTTTAATTAATTCCTGCTTTTGAGGTTCTGTTACGCCTCTGTTTTTCCTTTAAGTAGTGAATGGCGCGGTTCACTCACGTGTGAGTTCATACGATCACCTTAATCGATTCGCGATCTGAATGCACGCTGAAGTTTATTGTTCTTGAATATTGTTGTATTTAAAGTAATTTTCTGCGTTAATATCGTATCCGCGACATAGATTTGCGGCCGCATTTGCATTTTAACTGACAGAGGCGCGCGTCGGAGGATGGATGGAAACAAATCATGGTAAAGAGCCTTCAGCCTCTTGACCATGATTTGTTTCAAGCCAGAATGTTTTTCACATTTCTATGTTCATGCAATCAATTTATGTTGGTTTTCCGCGAATAAAGTTCTACCATTGTCACTAGTTTTTGTGGGTAAAGTATTCAAACTCTATAGCAGTGGTTCCCAAAGTGGGCGATATCGCCCCCCTAGGGGCGGTGGAAAGATTTTGGGGGGCGGTAAGAAAGCAGAGGGCGTTTGGGGGGCGATAGGGGGGCGGTAGTCCGAAGTCGAAGTCAGAAGTTCGAACGTGTGTTTGACGATTTGTACACAACACGTGCAGCCCATCATGACTCCCAGCGATGGTTTCGTCACTCAGATCTGTTTTTTAACCTCTCCTGGGTTTACGTCTCGGACAAATTACCGGCCGGCCTCGCGGCCGGTCTCACGGCCAATTTCAAAATTCAATGATCAAGGAATATCTCTCAAACTAATGAACGTAACTCGATGAAACTTGGTACAGTTATTCATTAGAACCTAACGGTAATATTTTGCTCGTGAAAATTGTTTGAATTTTGCCATAGTTATATGGCAATACGAGCCGAAATTCACAGTGATCAAGTTTTTTCTTCCAAACTACTGAACAGATTCGAACGAAATTTTGAATTTACAGTCCTAACTACCAAACGGTAACGTCAGCTCGTGAAAATTTTTTCGATTGTGCCTTCGTTCGCGAGTTTTTTTTATGCAGCGTACTAAATTTCAAGAAAGAGGCGTATGTCTGTGGGGGGCGCTAGAAATTCACTAGGAAGCCAAAGGGGGCGCCAGCCTGAAAAAGTTTGGGAACCACTGCTCTATAGTAACTGGAGTCGAAGATCTTTATCTGTTACAAATCCAAATGGGTTTATTTTTGATTAGATAATTTTTGACTGGTGCTTTTGGATGATTTTGGTTCGATGATTTTCATCATCAAAACTTAAACTATTTCATTTTTTCTCCGTCTAAACACAGTACTTCTGTTTGATCTTGTTTACTGGCTTGATCGCATTCGTATGAGAAGCTGATTTATACTATATTCCGAGTCCTAGGCGTTCCCTAATTCAGAGCCGTCCTCGGTTCTAAATTTTGTTAGAGTAGCTGCGTGCAGTGGGCCAGCAATTTACCCTTTGCCTTTTATCCAATTCGTGTAATGCCTTACTCCAGCATAATGTATTACATGCGATGAAAGCGTGCTATAGATTACATTTATAATCGCTATCATGCGATAAAGGGGAGAGAGAGAAAGTGTTTAGTGTGGTTTCCATATAGTTCATGTGCCTGAACTTTAACGCGAACCTGGGATCATCGTGCAACATCGCTTTCTCGTAGAAATCGCATAAATGGGATAAAATTTCTCCTTAAACTGACGTAACAACTATGAGCAGCGCTTTCGCCTCGTGTGGAGTGAGCAGAAGCTGAAGTTTCTTTTCAAATTAGATAAAACGCTACAATCATAATTTCATTCCTTAAATCAATTAGATTTATCGTCAGTTTATGTCCGCAGCTTTACCGCAAAGTTCCAGTTCTTATAGTAACATGTGCTTTGTTACTGGAACATATTTCATTTTTAAAGCGCCGTAACATTGTTAACAGGCCAAATGTTTACTGAATATGTTTCAAATATCTTGAAATGTAACAAAGGTATTTGATGGCGCTTTCCCTGTTATTTTCGACTGACAGACACATTCCACGATTCCGGCACCAGCGGTCATGAGCCGGACTCCTTGGAGGCGATCCACACTCTTGTGGGCCGGGGGCCTTCAGGCTCCCCACCGCTGGCCAAACCTCTTCTCCAGCGTCGGAGCTCTGCAAGGCAGCAGCCCAAAGACGTCGTGTCTGACAATACAGATCTTGACGAAGGCAGAGGCTCTTCCACCAGCAGCAGCAACGGCAGCAGCTCAGGGGGTGGCGGCACAAGAGGGGTGTCCGAAGCCGGCGTTTTGCTCCATCTCGAGAGATGTGCTCACAGGTTCGTTGTTAGGCAATCTTTCGAGTAAAAATATCGATGAGGCTATCATGTTAACTAAAACTGTTATCTTATAAAAATGAAGTCAAACGGTGGTAATAGATAAAATCGAAAAAATTAATCCTCTTATTCTTCAGTACTCAGTTATTCTCAGTAATTTATCTTTTTATGTTGCACTGATCTCAATTAGAAAAATTATCTTGCAAGCGGCGTCGAAATAGTTAATTTTTAAATAATTTTTAAAATATAATATTCTTTTCATTTTATTATATTCTGAGAGTGTACTAACATTCTGAACTTCAGGAATCGTGATTATTATATCGTCTTTTTTAAGTCCCTCTAAATTTGTTTTGCTCTTTCAAAATTCGTTACTTAGAATTTTTCATTCTGAACAACAGGTTTTGTCTCGGATACATCTTTCTTTTTTTTCTCATTTAGACAAACTCGTCGAGCGCTACAAGAGCTCAAAGAAAAGTATGAAGCTGTGTTGGATGAACAAAAGCAGCTCCATCATCAGCCTTCCAGAACACGGTGAGAAAGGCTCGGCCCTAAAGACACTCGTCATTACCGCGTTATTTACTAGCGTATATAACAGATGATGCTATTCAATGCTTAATTTCATAAAATATTTCCTTTGTGTATCCTGATGTATCAAGTTATTGTGGTAAAATCTTTCCTTTGTGTATCTTAAAATTTTGCGGCAACGATGAATATCTTTTAGGTTTCACAAAAACGATCTATATTTATCACATATAATCTCTTTCTGTTGAAAGATCAGCTTGAACCCTGTTGAATTACTGCATTCTAACTTCCCTTCGAATATCTGACAAATATCTGCATATATTGTGGGACAGGCTGGCGGGCAGCGTGCTGGAGTCGCTCCAGAACGAGCTGGATGCTGGCCTAACATCGCTGGAGTCTTTGAGTTCAGTGGCCTCCACGGACCGACTAATTGATGAGCTCAAGGTGAGTCCGCGGTCCCTATCATCATAGGCGCACTCACTTCTTTCACGTCACCTATGCGCTGCCGCAATGTAATAACCGATCAACGGTCATAAGCGCTCTCTCGTTCCGTCAATTTAAATGATCCGTTTAGCTAATCGCTCATAAACGCTCTCTTGTTTGGTCAATTGGAAAGACCCGCATAACTTGTCGGTCATAAGAGCTCTTCTGTTTGGTCAATTGAAAAAACCGTTTAGCTGCTCGGTCTTTTAAATGCTCCTCTCTTAGGTCAATTGAAATGAACCGTTAAATTTTTTGGTAGGGCTTCGCTATTTTACCAGTATTTATTCGGCTGAGTGCTTTATTCAAAGCAATTAATGTTAAAATTCATTAAAGTTAATTGATAGAACATTTTTAGTTTCAAGTGATTATTTCGCGATGATTTTTCTTTATCATTTAAATTAGTTTTGCTCGTGATGTTCGTTAGAATAGACGATTGTCACCGGTCGGAATCCAGTATTTTATAACTCTCGGATCTACTAACGATGCCAATTACATAGAGAACTCAGAAATGTGCGTGCAAAATTTTCCAGTTGTTTTACTGAGGCAGAGATATCCTTCAGCTTAGTATCGTTTGAACCATTCCATGCTTTCGTAAATCCGAGAGCTGCAGGTTGACCGGAAGGTGAAGTAGGAGGTTTTCAAGGCGTGCGTCAGTGTCATCTCGGTCATATTTCCTCCACGCTTGCATTGCCTATGACAGATTGATGACCGGTTTACACGCGACCTTCGACTTGTCTTGCCTAGAACTTGACGAAGTCGTGACGCATGGACGCTTCTTCTGAGAACTGCTGAGCTGCAAGCATTAAACACTGGCTTTTGCTTGGGTTCCTGATCTAGATATTCCTGATGAATATGAAGCCTTATGGATTGCAATCTCAAAGTTAATGATTTTATTTTCACAATTAAACTATTGTCTTGAAAAAATAAGTCGTTTATTATTTGTTCCTTCGTACTCAACAGTGAAATTGACTTAAAAAAGTCTATTGGAGCAGAGGCTGAAATGCCGAATGGATGATCATATTTTCCTCAATGTTATTGATTTTCATATATATATTATTTCATGTTCCCACTGTATTTCACTGTTTTATCATTTGAAGTTCAAATTTTATTGAAAATATTTTATTTTTATCATTTGAAGTTCAAATTTAATTGATTCTGAAAGAAAAACTGCCTCAATTTTGACGCAGGACTTCAATTTGTCTCCTTCGTAAGTCCTTTAGTGTGCTCACTCGATTGTTTTGTTTGAACGTTGCCGACGAAGCACGGTTGGATGTCATCATATTATTTAATTTCATAATCATCAGTGGGAATCCGTGTGTAATTGTGAGGACAGAGCGCGCGTTTATTTTTCCTGTAAGAGGCTGGCGTTATTTTGTCGGTTGTCGTATTGTGAACGTCTCGCTCTAGTAGGATCTGAGCTGACGGTTCATTGAAGATTGGTAACTCAACCTCAACGGCATTGTAAACGGTATTTTATCTGTTACTTTGCACGTGTTTGCTGAAATTTAACAGTGTCGAGAAATACGGAAATTAAAAATGTTTATTTTTATAAACCTTGCATACAATACACGTTTTAAATATGTCGAGATGGTGTTTTTTTAATTTCTGTTCTTAACTAGGTTTTAAAATGACGGTAAAGTTTATCTCTGGTCAAGTAAATTACTAAAAATTTAAAAGCGAAGAAAACAAAAAAAAAATTCACCATATCTCTATGGTGTTGATGAAAGACAACGTTCTCAACATAGATATGGGGAATTTTCTAGAATTTTCCTCGCTTTCAAATTTCTATTGAGTTTGTGATTCAAGCAATCGAGTGAAGTAAATTCCTGAGTTACAATTTATCTCTGATCGAATTCCCTGTTCATAATTAAACTAGAAATTTTATGTCTTGAACTCCATCGTAAAAAATAAACTCGCAGTTTCACGGTTGGCATGATCTCCACTCCAGCATTTAAAGCTCCTGTCGTACTTTTCTAACCTACATCGTTTCGCTCCGAAAGTCCTCTCCCGTGGAACATTTCCGGTGAACTTTACTTCCGCGTTTATGTATTAAGTAGCCCACGACCTCTCTTTATTCTTATATACTTCGGACAGTACATTATTCCTTTATTATTGTTTGCCATAGAAACCATTTCAATAGAAATCACTGTACATTATTCCTAAAGGTTTTCTTCCAATTCCATTTCATACAACAGTTTAAACTTGAGCAATAATTGGAGCTTATAAACTTTTGGAGTTAGTGAATGCTTAAGTGGCGTTAATATTATTTGTTTTTACCATCACCATTCTTCTCTGCCCAGTTACGTGAGATGACTATAAGTCAGCTGAGGGTGCGAGTGCTGCAGCTCGAGAAGGACCGGATGGACAAAGTTCCTGTAGACGCTGCACGGGAAATCAATCGTCTTAATGTCCAGTTGGTGAGTATGGCTCGATTGTGCAAGATGATGGACATTTTTCCCAATTAATTTCATTGTATTGACCTCCAGTTAATGAGTGTTGCTTGATTGTGCGCGCTGTTGTACATTTTCCCACTGAATTTCATTTTCTTGACCTCCGTTAATGAGTGTTGCTTGATTGTGCTCGCGATAGTTTTTTACCATTTGCAGTTCACCATCCGCTGTACCTTACTTTTTGACGTCTTAAGTGATGATAAGTTGATGAATTACTGAAAAATTAGGTGTAATGTAAAAGATGGCGATTTACGCCTGGAAATGTTTAAAGTGCCGTTAACTGCACAAGTGTTAATTTCGCAATATTTTACTAACTTGTATCAAAAGTGTGAGTTCTCCTATGTAATCATGAGAATATTCTCTAAATTTGATGAAAGTGGTACTTGAGGTTAGGATAACATTTCGGCCGCTCTATAACATAACACGACATATTTACCATACATATATAGTTTCTATTTGCTACTCATGAAAGGTTATTTTCTTTATTCAACCATTTCGAATTTACCTTGAAGTATTTTTCAAGCTAACATTACCCGTTTCTTATTTGAACGGAAATGATATTCCATGGATCATGAATTTAATCGTTGCTGCTTTATAATTGTCGCACTTGCCACATTGAAGCATTTCTTATGCACTCCGCTACTCTCATGTTCAAGCTCCAGCGGTCTGCTCGGACGTGGACCTCACAATTCTTTTTAACTGCCATCGGAACTGGCGACATCTGCCGGATCTCGTTCTTATAACTGCATCTTTCATACACTATAATGAATGATGAAGGGAAAGATCACTGGTGGTGCAAAACGAAAATACTACTTTGACGGACTAATAATTTAAAAAATGATGAAGGGAAAGATCACACGAAAATGCTACTTTGATGGAGTAATCATTTAAAAGTATAGCAAAATTTCTAATATTACTGTAATTTGAAATAAAAAGAATCGAGCACAGACATTACATTGCAAATATTTTATAGGATTGCTATTACCCGACCAAAATAGAATCGGTCGACTTTACTTCTTACATTTGCATTTATTAACTATGAATTAAAGGCGATGTTGAGCACTTGCGCTTTGCTTCCAGCGAATCAGAAGAATGTTTTGCCATTTCTCGGCACTAATAAGTATAAAATGACTTTTCATACTTCTCATACCATTTCTCCATGGTGTTGCTCCATATCTTTGTTTCTTTACATTTCTCTATATGGCTCTATTAGCATTGCTCCATTTTATTGCTCTATGGCATTGCTCCATGTGATATATTGCATTGCGTTGTGGCATTTCTCCATGGCATTGCTTTGGAGTATTGATTGCTACATGACATTGTTCCTTTGCATTGCGACGTGGCATTTCTCTGTGGCTTTGCTTCGGAGCATTGCTCTATGGCATTAATTAATCCATGGCATTGTTCTGTGGCATTGCTACGCGGCATGCTCTGTATGGCATTACTCTTTGGCATTGCTCCGTGTTAGGAAGCATTGCACCGTTTAATTACTCCGATTCATTTATCGGTATCATTTTAATTTAATTATAAATCAAATTTCATTCATGTTAATTCGTTACTATACATTAAACAAAATTTTGAATGTGTTTTGAGTCTCTGTTTTATAGCTCTAAAATTACAAATGAAATGAGGGTTTTCATTCAAGTCAACGGAATATTCAGTGGATATTCGTTCAATTAAGTGCAAAACAAACTTATTTTATTTCGCATGATATTTCCAAAAATATCTATACTGGACCATCACGTCCAGTCACACCCACCGTTGACAGGTGCAGCTACTCGACATATGTTGACTTTCTTTTGTTTTTTGTCAAACTTCCCGTGTGGGAAATTGAGAACATGTGCGTCAACTTATTCAAGTAGGTCTGACGCTTGTTATCGTTGATGTCTCGTGTTTTTTTATATATTTGTTTAGTCTGAATTAACGGCTTTTTGATTTACGGTTCATAACGGTCAGTAAAGTGGAACATAATTTTTGCCAAGAATCAAATGTTCATAGACATCCAGACTCGCAATGCCAAAGTTCGGCAGATATACCTACAATATAAATTAAAAATCATTACTTGTTATACTGCATTGCCATTTCATCTTTTTAGTGCATTTTCTCATTTATGGAAAAAATGCACTATTGTGCTCGCCATGTCCGTCCGTCCGTCTGTCTGTCTGTCTGTCCGTGACCTCAAGTTTTCGTCGACGAGAAAATGCGCTCTCTGTCACTCACTGCAGTGAGTACTGAGTTATATTTTTTACGATATACTATAACCTTTACAACGCAGTTCCTTACTTCGCTTATCTGTACCACCCAGGGAACCGCCTCGAAGTTCATGTGAAGAATATCATTCATGTTGTTCTTCGTGTCATTGAACAATTGGGAGTCCAAGTGTTCTTTGCATGCGACACTTTCCACTAACTGGACCTGGCCGCTACTTGGTCAGAAGAAGTGCCACCTCAATTGGTGCACATCATTGTCGCGCTAACTGCTGGGAAACGCTTCTTGCTCATTACGTACAAGTCGCTCCAGTTCATTCATCTCGAGGAAACGAATTCAGGGATCTTTTCAGCTAGGAAATAGGAACGTTGTCAGCACTGCGCTGACAACGCCGGGTTCCTTCTCAGAACAAATAATTATTTGCGACACCCCGAACACGAAACTCGGTCTTTCCTCCCTGTAACGGGTGTGACAACAATAGATGCTCTAACGAAATTCGCTGGGTAATTCTTAATTCTGTACTTTTATTTGCTCGCAAATAAAAATCGTGTGGGTTTCAACTACAATTGTTTCATTCTTGGTTGTGTTAACACAACGTTGCTGGCCAACGTCTTTGTCAAATGGTTATTATTTGAATGTTTTTGTTCATTTTTTGAAAGTCGGCTCTTATTCGCTAAAGCTGTATTCCGGATGATATGTCAAACACATTGTATTAAATATTTACAATAATGCAACACTCAGTATGAAGAAAAATCGCTGGTGAAAAATAATCAATCCATTATATTTGAGCCAGCCTGTTGCACTCCATATACTCATATCAGTTAGCAGTCATCGAACAATTTGGTGGCCTCTTTGAAAAAAAATGAATGCTGTTGGTTTAAACCTTCTTGCAAGTCTTCTGGAGCATATAATTGCTTCTATATGGTTCATCGCCACCCATCAGGGGAGTTAAGCAAACATCTTTCACGCTCGTAACTTCCGTACTTATTTTTCATCTATTGATCCGTGCCGAAGTCAGAGACCTCGACAGATGATCACAACTTGCGCGCGTCAATACGAGGCTAGTGATTACATAACGGATCTCGAATTAAAGATGCATCTTTAATACACGTCGTTCTGCTTTATATTGCCCATGACGTAATGGACTCATATGGTCCAGTGTAACTGTACGACATCTGCTGTGAATATTTATATTGTTCATCTCTCAATATTGAATAGTTTTAAAGGTACAAATTTCTTTTGATTGTTAACTTGCCTGTGGGCGAAGTTAAAATTTTTTGCTATTATAATTCGCTAATGAGAAGCGAAAAATATATTATGTTAGGACGCAAACGTTGGATGTTCTAATTTTACGTCTAGTTACTGAAACGATATATCCGTTTTCGACGATGAATGAATGAGCAATCATCGCGAACTATTGATCATTTCTGCTAGATTCGTTCAATTTCTTTTAATACTTTAAGAAATGAATAATTAATTATTCCAGGCGTCCCAGCTAATTGGCTCAATTTTGCATGATGAAAAGCTGTTTTTTTAAATAAAAGACATTTAATTTTTTCGAGTATCGCTGGCAAATTGTTGTCTACTATGGAAATAATTCCACGCACCTAAGCGTAACAATCAAAATTTATAAGCTCGTGCGCTCAACACTCTTCACGAAGATGACGTGTAAAATGCTCCGTTAGCGCCACGACATGCGAACTAATAGCCTAACGACCCGTCCTTAAACTAATGTTTTTCATACATCATCGCTCAGTTTCCTGTTTACGCATGGAAAGAGAGCAGCGTACGCGACCGGACTGAGAAAAATTACCTGTTTGCAATTTGTTTTAAATACTGACGGAGAGCAACTTCTCAGCAGTTCATGTGTGACGTAGATTAGATGCTACTAGTCATGAATATTGCGTTTGTTATGGCAGCGCTGGTCACTGAGCCGCAAAAATTCTACAATCAAACTTGCGGAACTGGTTTAATGCACGACAGTTGAGCGTTAAATTCTAATAAAAGTAACAATCTATGCTCATTTCCATGGTTATTTCTTCCGTATTGCGATGATGAGGTCATGGCTTTAAAATATTAAGATTGAAACTGTGTCAAATGAATCACTTTTATATTAAGTTTTAAAACTGTTCGTAAAATTTGTGTTACCATTGCAGATTAATTAGCAAATGCAATTTGTATTTCCTTTTTAATAGACCATAAATCAATCAAAGTAGCATTCAATAATCGTGCTCGACTTAAAAATAAAGATTAACTGGTCATTTCATTGTTATCTTTTGAATGCCATGCATAAACAAATGTCTTATTTTCTTCTGCATAGATTCATCTAGAAAGAGCTCGAGACGAGTTAACCCTTCAAAACTTTACCCTCAAGTCCCGCTTGTCTCAAGTTGCCAACAACATCAACGATCCCGCGGCCACGTATCAAATCAACAAGGATGGTCCGTTAAGTGTCAAAGAAACCAATAAGTCTAGTGAGAATAATAATTTAAATGATGTAGGCAAAGAAACGAGCGTTGATGATCCCGATGTTGTTAAAATACTAAGGAAATCTACTTATAAGGTTACGGAAGAATCTCAGATAATGAGACAACTCTGTAAGGAATATGAAGCCAAAGAATTAGAGTACAAAAAGAAAATAGAAGCTTTAGAATTGGAGTTAAGAAACGTGCAGCACAGCACCTGTGAGAAGCACGAGAAGAGCATAAGAGACCTGGAGGCGTTCTTAGAGAAGCAGCAACAGAAAGTGGAGAGTATGGAGCGCTTCTTGGAGGAGAAGGAAGAAGAGTGCAACATGTTGAAGCTGGATGTTGATACGGTCACTGAAGAGAACGCAAAGCTCCAGAAAACTCTAAAGCAACTCACAGATGAAAAGCAGGTAAGAGTCTTTAATATGTTTATTTCACTTTAATTTTATAGTTCTTTTAGAATTCTTGAGAATTTTAATTGCTCCAAATATTTGATATCAATTCGTTAACGCGCTGATATGGGACTTTCTCAGGAGCAAGAAGCGCTAGTTACAACACATCGCCGAACTGAAGACACACTCAAAAAACTAATGGAGGAAAACCGAGTCCTAGCAGAAGACTTCAACAGAGAACGGGTTTTGAGGAAGAAATATTATAACCAGGTTAGTAATGCATGTATCTGCTACATATTTTAATCACGCACATTTGTAGGATTTGTTTAAATCACGGAGAAATAAAAAGAAAAATAATTTGAAAAACATGTATCTTTAAAGCTTTGTTAAAAAATCGATTAGCTAAAAAATATAAGCAAAGATGTCGGGAGATCTTTTTGACTTTTAAAATTCTTATGTACTTGTGTTCCATTTCCCTACAACCAAACGTATTAATGCTTTATAAGCGTCGTTCACGATCATTAGCTGAAGCTCATATCGAGTAACCTTCACTACCGTGATCGCTTCGTCGTGGGAAGTGACCGCACTTACGTTGCAATGTTGTTTCACAGCCACGGCCCAATGGACTTCCGCTTCATGTTTTATCTTACACTCGTATCTTATATTCGTATGTTATCTATACTCTCGTATGCCACATTCATATGTTATCCAAACGCTCGTATGTTGCATTTGTATGCTATCCATACTCTCGTATGTTGCATTCGTATGCTATCCATATTCACGGTATGTCACATTCGTATGTTATCCATACTCTCGTATGTTACATGCATATGTTATCCCTATTCTCTCGTATGTTATTCGTGCACTCGTATGTTTTTTACTTTCGTATGTTGTATTTAATGGTTATCAAATGAGGTTCACTCTCAATATAATCCGGAGAGTAAATTATTCTGTAATATCCGGTTACGCCACTACACCATTATTCGAAATATAACCTAGTCTATACATGTAAACCGCAGCCAAGCTACGCATATCCTAGTTCTTACCATCCATCTAAAAAATAATTTATACCTCACTGAGGTCAAGCATCGTTCTCACGTACAGAACTAAGCCAGGCTTAAATTTAATTAACTGCTGCCTGTTAGGTGTCTGTAACGTGTAAAAGCTCGATCAGCTGACCTTTGTTACGCTTCGTGGCGTTCACAAGCTTTCCATTCAGCGTTGAATTTCCGGCCTTCATGACGCCAGCTTGTAATTAATTAAGTGAGCTGCTTAAGCCCACAAGCTCCGAGTGCAAGAACTCGGCTATTCTCTTCAACTGGAACGAGTTTGCGTCCTCGTGATCTATTATAAAGTGATTTATTTTAAGTTTAATACTTTCTGTATTATTTTTAAACGTTAAAATCCTACAGATTTGTACATGTGCAGTCTGATAAGTAACTACAGACACTAAAATTTAATTAATCTTCGTTCACTTTCCCGCCAGATCGAGGACATGAAAGGAAAAATCCGCGTTTTCTGCCGATTACGTCCACCTACGGAGCTGGAGAGACGACGTGGAAGCGAAGACGTCACACAAGTCGAGGATCAGTTCTCCCTCGGCGTGAACTCCACCAGAGGCTACAAGAGCTTCGTGTTCGACAGGGTCTTCAAGCCGCACGAATCTCAGGAAGCGGTCTTCCAAGACACTAACGTGAGTTCAATTTAGTCCGTACTACTTCAAACATTATTCCTATATATGTCTTCCATTCAATACTATTTATCGATTTATTCTATATGTTATCGAGGAGTAACGTTTGAGAGAGGAGTTTGAGTGCCTGAAGTCATTTAAGTTATTCTATCTTGAAGCACAATTCGATAGCCACACCAATTTCTTTTGACACCTTCTAATATATTCACAAATTTCATCCGCATCCTGCATTTTTTCGATATTCATAAGAATTAATAAAGTCAAGAGAAAAAACTCTTCTGTTGGAGTTGGATTGTTAATTCCCTCCACGTGATCTGTTGCGCGTACTAATAAAAGACCGCATGCTGCTTCATTTTAGATCGGCTACTTTAACTATTGTAAAAATGTATTATTTGCAGACGAGAAGAAAATGCTGGTAAATATCTGACACTTTTTTGTCATTATTTCACGATTGTTGGTGATAATAATCTAAGAGTCCGATGACTTGCCAGCGTTTGAAGCCCTTGCGAGTTTCATGGTCATTTCTGCATGCCTCATCCGGCGCGGCTGCAGTTTGCCGACGACCGAGCTTTGCGGTCAGCATCTCGATCCTGAATCGCTAGACCGACAACGCGAAGCGCAAAAATTCATTATTGCGTACGATTTAAATTATTTGTATTATTTGACCAGAAATAATTCAGTGTTCTTGTATTATCTCGTTTGTCGATGTGCAGCCAAATAATTTTTTTGCGCTGCTTAAGTCATAAGCAGCGGATACGCGCGGTACAAAAGTATCATTAACTTATTGCTTATAATTTTGTTAACATAAAGTGCAGTTCTATTCTACTCTAATTGCTCTGCTGCTCAAAGAGCTTAACGGTCAGCATCCTTCCAATCACCCGACCGGACGCGTGTGAGGTAACCACTGTAAATTGTATTCGTTATTGTCTATTTTGTAGACCATGAAGTGATGCTCGATTTTCTTGTTTACAACGAAGTAAAAATGTTTTTTCGAGTATTTTCTGTGCATTTTTTGGAGGATATCATTCATTACTCATTCGGAGTACTTTTTTTAACAAAATGCAGGAATGAAAGAGGCGTACAAACCTGTGAGAGTTGGCAAGTTGCATTTAATGAAGGATTTCAAGGACGTAAATAATAATTTTTACTTAGAAGCAAGGTACTATTTACCATCAAGGAAAACCAACATCCTGATGCTGCAACGTTGTATTTAGAACGTATTAATTCCATTCATCAATTATATAGGGAGTAAGGTTAGGTTAGCATATCTAAATTCGGATAAAATATAATATTTATATGTTAGTGTATGTCACCCATAGTCAGGAAGCCATTGATTATTATTGATCAAAGGGAAACACATAGTTGTATGGCTTAGAAATATTCGTTGTATACTCGTTCATTCAATTGCGTGTTTATATGTTTAGTAACTTCATTCTCCCTCCAAGGATATCTGAGGAAGAACCCCGGAAACGTTGAGAATAGACAATGAACGATATAAAAGGTTATTATTTGCGTTTGCAGGATTAATAGTTGACTGGCATCCATTAACTATGCTGACGCGCGGGCTGCAGGTTTGCGGCGTTCAAATAATGCAATAAACTCTTTGCATTGATTACTTTACCAAAACCTGAGCAAATGATCAAAATTTAGTACACGTTCGATTTCAGTTTAGTAACACTTAATACGTTGAAAAATGCCAGAAGTTAAAAACTAAATTCTACTTACCGTCCCAACCTAATTTTTAAGACAAATTGCACAACTCTTAAAGATTTCCAACTAAGAGTGTCGACAAGACATTTTTCGATAGCCACGCATCCGTTACAACACAATTTGATCGTTGCCACTAGATTGAGCAGAAGCTTGTTCGATCAATGGGACTAATACCATCTCATTTTAGTCATTTACAGTGTAAGTATACGCCCGGATCAGCTCCGTACACGATGTCGTTATAGCGACATCGCTACAGCATAATTGCATGTTTCTTTCGCATTGCGTTATCCCGACTCACCTTGACACTCGACAATACCGTCCCGTGCTGGAATTTCTTTGGTTGCTTTTTGCGTTCCTTGGCATTTGCAGGGATGTATCGTGACGGTGATTTTCTGTACTTCACCTTTTGCCCCCTCATTTCCGTCACGTGTCGATGGCTGTGTTATTATTTTATAAAATATTTTTACCTCTATTTATTTATGCGTTTTAAATTTACATTTTGTGTACTCTATTTTGGGATAGTGGTTATGGATGAAATCCGTTTTGAAATTAGAAACTTATTAGAGATTAGTTTGCATGTAGAGACCGCATGCCGTGCTGCCGGTAAGGACTGATTATAATTACTCCAGAAATTAGTTTGTGACCGCGAAGCGGCCAAATTTTGTGTCCTTGAACACCCACATAATCTCCGTAGTCTTTGCCTAGGAGCAGAAAATATCCATTGCATTCGTTCTTGCGAAATATGATAAATTAAAAATTTCTAACTACATTCATGAATGAGGCGCTCCGCAAGCTTCTTGATCAAATATCATAATAATAATGGTATGTGTTATTACTTTTTCATCTGGGTAGCAAATTATTTATCAAGATTAAATGCCAAAGTCCTTCTCATTTTCTTACATGTTACCATTATTATCAATAGAGCATTCAGTATCCTCTTATTTTTAAAGTTTATCGAGATGTGTGATTGTTTTTTAGTGTGTTACAGCACGGGATTTCCCGGAGATTTTTGAAGAAAGCATTAAATGAGATTCATTTAGCCTATATCGAACGTTCAATGCCATCTTCTTCTCAACGCTTGTGTAGTATTCAGTGTGATTGTTTCTTTATGTCTAGCATTCATTTGTATAGTATTTAGTGTGATTATTTCTTTGTATGATTCATCGTGGGTTTCCTGAGACTCGTACAGAAGTTGTACGTGTCCTTGCAGCGGCCGCGTATATGCGCTGACCGGCAGTGCACTCCACCGCCAGCCCAAGGACGGCTTAATCATAACGGAACAAGCTAAAACATTACAATCTCGAGTCTAAAAGAATTTACCATATATACTGATAAATAGTAATTCTAAACCTACTTTTTAATTAAATTTTTGTGTACAAACGTTAGAACGGTAAAATGCCGACCCAGAATTTTGTATAACGTTATTACTAATTACGCTTAAATTGTACTAGAGTCTCGAAGCTTTTGTCAGATTTGCTGGTAAATATTAATTATAATCCTACTTTTTATTTGATTTTTTCTGTAAAGTTGATGACGCGGTGGAGTACAGTACCAAAATTTCAAATGGCGTAATTTTTAATTACACTTAAACTATCCTTGGCTTTTTTAAATGCATAAAACAACGAATAATACAACGATCACGAGAATAAAATCTTATTTTACAGAAATTTTTCTCAATGCATTGAAAGTAAAATGCGTGACTCATTTCCTATAAGCTTGTAATGACCACACCATCCTTTTAGACTTAACGCCCTCTAACATTTTTATGAAATTATTGTGACCATAATTATGAACATCGACCATGTACGAAATCTTACCTAAATGTGTACAATTTCGTCAGTTTTTGCACGCTACCACTGCAGGGTTAAAACCCCTTTCTTTATGCATGTATTAACTGCTTGTTTACTTTAAGCTATCTTGGTGCCGAAATTCTGGAAGGTACTTTATGTACGTTGTAATTCTGCTTACTATTAAGAAGCAAGTGTGATATTATCTTAATCCACACTCATGAAAATAAATGGGTCGTATTGTTCAAACAGTGATATACTCTGTGCAAATGGCATTGGTAAGCTCTTATACCGGGCCTTACTGAAACAGGATGACCCTCGCAAGTGCAGAAAGTACATCGCTATCTGGACAAGTCTCACATATTTATTTGAGTGTATGCCTCACCAACTGCTTGCGCGTGGTCATTAATTTGTAGGCCTCAGGAAGCATTACGTCACGCGGCGCTCGCAACACTCATCTGTACTGCTTAATTCTTTTACAACAACCTCTGATTAATTAATTTTTTTTTCGCTAAGACCACAACCTGCGTAAATCGCCATTATTGCTCAGTCAAGCGCTCAGTGTTTGTGGTAGTAAAATCAATTGATGGAATGTAGAGTGCATCGCTAATTCATCATGTATCACTCACATATAAATTAATTTCTTTGAGTAGTAAAGACTGGAATCGTATCCTAGTCTTTACTTGTTTATATGCTCGCCTTGCCGAAGCAAGAGTTGAAATTAGCAACACCAGCTACGAACACCAATGAGCATGTTATTTAACTATGTTAAATACTACAATCGGCTAAATGCCTATACTTAAGATATATTTGTGAGAATCATTTTCATTACAAACGATGCTTTATTTTTGTGTTTTCAAGCTAAACTACTGCAGACAAGTTTTCATAAAAAAATCTCGAATCAATAAAGTACATGTAGTTTTCCTTTGCTGATTTCAAATCTACGTACGTCGAAATTAAAAATGAAAAATATATTGCAAATGTTATTACATAACGAAATACTTTGTGCGTGTTATGTACATATGAGGAAATCGAGTATATATCCGTCAAAAGAAAGGATTTTTGTTATACAGCAGATCGGCCGGTGCATGTAATTTCATTCGCCGCAATGAAGCTCAGTTATTTTCAATAAAGGCCGCTCTTCATATCCTGCATACATCTGCTCATAGTCTTCATCGTTCCTCGTAATTGCAAACGTCGCCGGACGTCCTGAAGCCCGCCAGAGGTGACCCTCACACCGCGAAACTTGTGGGAAATTTCCTTAAACTGGACTACACTTAAACTGAGAGCTCTTTAAATTATAACTTTGACTTCCTCTGGACTATCCGTTTCGATTATTTTAGTGTGTGTACAAGGTTTTGATTGCAAGATGCGAATTTATCTAATCATTATATAATTATTTATTTAAGTTGCTAAGAAAATTCCCTAGCCTGCACCTAACTATCATGCATTCTTCGTATCAGTAACTTTAATCTAACTACATCTTTCTTCAGCATTACTTCCATGCAACGAATTTGTTAGAGATTGCTTCGTGGTGTGTTGCAAATGAAGAAAATACGCTAATGTTTCATGGCCGTAAATTGCTCTCTCATGCACAGCCAATCGATTGCGTGTTGCAATCGATTGGCTTCAACGCGGCTTCGTGTGCAATCGTTTGACGATATGCGTGCACGTTGATTGTAAGAGGCATAAATCATAGTTGCGTACATGATAGTTTGGTTTTCTATTATCACTAATTTCTTGATAGAAGAACGTCGATCAGAATGCTAGACTCAATTCGAGATTCATTTGTTCGGCAGTGCTTTTCATAATTTTCTTTGTCATGCCAAGCACTTAATATGATTGCACATTAAACTATGGCAAGGCAACTTACCACAGACGCCAACCTTTTCACTGTAAACGAACTAATTTCAATGTATATACGCTAAACTTAACCTTAAACAAATAATTTCTTTCAACAGTACTCTATTAACGAAGATTTCGTTGCCTCCCTAATTGAATTAGACGATTTTATTTGTTAATTGAGGGGAATAATCTCGATCATGCGAACTGTGGCCTTCACGCTCGAAAAGCCTCGTGATTGATCTGATTAGACTCGCTTCCATTTCATGCCTTCTTTTGTGACCTTACGTCCAATATTAACTCTGATAACTGGACAATACCTCACTTTCTGTGCCTCCATGCAGACTAATTGTCGGACTCGACTTTTTCCTCGTATTATGTCAACCTCTTAAATTTGTACTGCATACGGTTAAATTTTCTTTATCCAACAAGAATAATCAAATAAATAAATAAGTAATAAAATTATAAAAAGAAATAAAAGTTATTCACTATAGTTCATGTTTCAGTTTATCAATTGCGATAAGTCTCTGCAAGAATTACTCCCGTCAGTGAATTTGTCCCATGCTATTTCTTCTATAGATTCCATAAATGAACTGACTGACACAGTAAGCAAGGCTCTTCGACAAGTTATTTACACGGGCTTTCCCTCCTCTTATGACGGAGAAAATACGTCAGGTTACTCTAGAGTTTCTGCAAATTATTCCTTCTCTTCCCGCGGATACAATTATCATTTACCGTCGAGACCTGAATGCTTGGCTACGCTCTAGATATTTTCTGAGAGCCAATGAACATCTGGAGATTTCGTTTTCCGAATTTCCACTTTGAAAAAAATAGTTAAATCTTCGTGCGCATTGAGTACTTACCTGTTGCATATTGGATGCTGTGATTCTAGCTTTCCCTCCTATTAAAAGACTCTACATTCATTGATCAACTCATTGTTTTCCAGTTGGGAGAATTTCATAGTTCCCTGTTAATGTGCAATGTAATATTCTGACCAAGTAGCCCCGACCAAATTATGCAGATACTTTTATTTATAGAAAATAAATTCAATTTCAAGTGCCTATTCGTATGATATCAATTTCAAATCAGGTCATAGGGGTCAAAAGTATATTTTTTCTGCCGCTGTATAGTTCGATTCAAGTATATATTAAATCGGTTCAAATGTCGTCATTTATTACAAGAAAAGAATATTTCGTATAGCTCTAAACTTCTAAAGAAATACAAAGTCATTTTCATCAGCAATAGCAAGAGCCGAAAAAAATCCAAACTTCGCATTGTTCACAAGAAATTAATCTATAAATCATCGTGATTTACGCACCGCGGAGCTCGACTAACACAAAGTGTTCCCTACGAGTGCTCGTCCCAATTACTCAACGCAATGGCAGTCTCGCGTGAGTCGCTTCTCATTGCAAGCTCTCGCTTGCGCTTCTCTCTCAACTCGAGCGCCATGCTCGGTGATGACTTCTCGTGCGTAATTGAGTTGGAGTCTTCCTATGTCGAATTTTGTTAGCGTACAATTGTCAGTGAGCTGTACGATAAGAAAAAGTGTGCGTATCTTCTAGAAATTGTCTTCACCCACAGCATGTGCCATACGAAGTGAGGAATTTACGGATCAATGGAGTGTTTCTTTCTACCCAATACCAGCATTTGCCGATGAACGGAGTGTTTCTCTCCGCCGAATATCCGTATTTGTCGATTAAGTTTTTTTTCACCTAATGACCGTATTGGTCGAGGAATGAAGCGTTTTTCCGCCGAATGCCCGTATTTGTCTATTAATTAATAAGAAATTTACATTTCTTTATGGCCTCATTCATAAATTCACATTGCAGGCACTAATTCAGTCAGCCATGGATGGGTACAACACTACCATCATGGCTTACGGCCAGACAGGCTCGGGCAAGACCTATACGATGATCGGCGAGGCGGTCAGTTGAATACTATAATGATTTATTTGTGTGAATTCCACCTTAAAATTCAAATTTTTCTCCTACTTTTTTTTACAAATTTTTCTCCTACTTCTCCTATATGGACGATGCATACCGAGCTAATATTGACTAGACTTTTGGCTGCGTGTTTATATGTACTGAATAAGGTTCGCCTTTCTCGTCTCAGTGCATAAGCTGAAAATTGATGTAAATTGAACTTATATATTGGATAATTATTTGATACCTTTTCGAAAACTAATTGTGAGTTTTTTAATTCCTGTAAATATACTCCTCAATGAGATTTTTGGATTTAGTTCCTGAATGTCTACTCTGAGAAAATCAAAGTTTTGACCTCTATTTTCTAGAATTAAAGCTAATCTCCAGCCAATCGTGTCCCATGTTAATTAAGTGATCTAATGATAATTGTGTCTTACAACCGTGATAATCAAGAGATTTAATGTTAATTATATCCCGTACTCATAACAATCAAAAGATCTAATGCTTATTGTGTCCCGTGCTCATGCTAATCAAGAGATGTAATGTTAATTGTTTCCAATACTCATTCTAATCAAACGATCTAATGCTACGTAACTGTGTCCCATACTCATTCTAATTAATCCTTAGTATCCTTAGTATTTGTTTGGGACATAGCAGTCCCAGGCCACGATGGATCGCCGCCTCTGATAATGCCTCCCATACTCATTCTAATCAAGGGCTCTAATTATAATTGTGTCCTAAACTCATGCTCTTTGAATCCTGTACTCATGCTAATTAACCATGTTAATCAAGGGATCTCCTGGCATCGCTCCGCGGGCCTTCAACCGCCTGTTCGAGTTGGCAGAAGAAGGGCGTGCGCGACAAGAGGTTCAGATCCACTGCTACATGCTTGAGCTCTACAACGACAAGCTCATCGACCTCCTCAGGGGCAACTCACACATTGAGGTCACTTGCCGTTATATTTTTATACCAAGAATTTTAAAGAAATGCAAATTACAAGTAAATTCAGCATTATTTCACTGATTTAAATAAATTAGATTGAATTTACTTAGAATTGGATTTGTTTTTGAATTCTCGATTAATTAGCGATGCAAGCAAACTAATGATTTAAAACCTGTTTTGCGGGGATCATCTGTTATGATTTTTTCATCGGTTATGTTCCTTCGCCTCTAAACGGCCACCGTGCCGTTGTCCATAATTCGGCAATGTTTTCTAGCACGTAGGATTTATTTAGATTATTTGATACAGGTGAGGACTAGATTATCTTTAGATTTTTTAGCTATTCTTGCTACCTACTGGAAACAATCTAGCCAATATAAAGTCCTGGATGATGTCTCTATGGTCTTTATACATTATGTCTCTGTATTGCTTGCATGTCGTCTCTGTACAAGACATACAAGATGAAGTAGCCCTATTATGGTTGAACTATATAAGGTTGACCCACGAGGATTTCCGTCTTTCAGTTCAGCTTTCTTGTTACGTCACTGAGATCGAGAAACGTAAACAAACCCGTCATTCCCATGACGGATTGTTTGACTGGTTTGATCGCATTTTGGTGAATAGTTAATGCCCGTGAAGTCACTGAGATCAGTGACGTCACCGGCGAACAACGAACTACATCCGCAGAAATGAGCTTCTCATGGGTCAACATTATACTAATTAAATCAACCATGGCCCCAAATTCTCGGGCTCATAATATTTAAGCGGCCGCAATACTAGCGATGACTTTCAATAATTTTCCATTTCAGCCCGAAAAACTTGAGGTGAAGCGGGACAAGCGAGGTAGCGTGCATGTTCAAGGCGCCCTCGTGCGCCACGTGAACACGGCTCAGCATCTCCATGAAGTTTTTGAGGTAAGCGAGCTGATGTTACTTTATAGTTTTAATATAATTACCTGTATTGCATACAATCACTCAAGATTTATACATACGTTGATAAAACAGTCGTTCAGGAATTTTCCAACTCCAATTATTCTCATATGCTTGCATCGGAATGCATACAGCCGAAAATAATTTTATTTCCTTTAAAATGTATTAATGAATATTGATAAATACAGGAGGGCCTAAGTAACCGGCACACCTCCTCGACCAACATGAATGCTGAGTCATCAAGGTCACATCTTCTCATCGTTATCACCGTGACTGTCACGTCAAAGCAGAATGGCTCAGTGCTGCGCGGCAAGGTACGTTCGGCGCCTCCAAGAGAAAACCCAGTTCGTTTCGCAGACCAAAAAAACAGCTAATTCCGCAGTATTATTCAGGTCACTTGATTGCTTAAATCTAAAATTTATCTGGAACTTTGAAAAAATAGCCCAAAAATTAACAACTTTTTTAGAAGAGAAAACGTTTCGGAGTCCATCTCCTCTCAATCAATTTGTAAACTAAAATAAGCGGTATTAGTATCTATCTATTGATGTCTAATGAACTTAGGTGCCTCTCGTATTATTTTAGTGCAAGATATGACATCTGTGTGATTTATTCGTCTATGCACAGCCCACGCTTATTGAAATTTATCTATTAATATTAAATTCGCCTAGGCGCGTTCAATATTTTCATTATTATTTTGGTTACAGATATGATATTCTTTGTGATTTATTTTTCTGTTCATAGCTTAGGCTCATTGGGATTTATCTATTAATATTTAATGTACTTATGTGCTGTTCATATTATTATTATTATGCCAGATATATGAGTGTATGGGATTTATTTGTCTCTGAGGCTGGTTAACTTGGAGGGTAACGAAAGCGCGAACAAAATCGGCGCGACAGCCTAAAATAAGCGGTATTAGGATTTATCTATTGATATCTAATGCATCTCGGTGCGTTTACATCATTTTTGTAAATGATATTGCAGTTTGTGTGATTAATTTATCCGTGTACAGCTGACGCTGGTGGATCTTGCGGGTAGCGAGCGCACGCACAAGAGCGGCGCGGCCGCCGAGACGCTCAAGGAAGCAAACTCCATCAACAAGAGCTTGTCGGCCCTCGGTGACGTCATCGCTGCACTCTCGTCGGAAGCGTCATTTGTGCCTTACAGGTCGGTCGTGATTATTTTCCTAGACTAACCTGGTATATAAAGTGTTATTTCTGTTTGTTTATTGGTTGTCGACCGTCATTTGTATTGTGTCCTTTGTGCCTTACAGGTCGGTCGTGATTATTTTTCTTGACTAACCTGGTATATAAAGTGTTATTTCTGTTTGTTTATTGGTTGTCGAATGTCATTTGCAATGTGTCCTATGTGCCTTACAGGTCAGTCGTGATTATTTTTCTTTAATAACCCTGGTATATAAAGTGTTATTTCTGTTTGTTTATTGGTTGTCGATCGCCATTTGCATTGTGTCCTATGTGCCTTACAGGTCGGTCGTGATTATTTTTCTTGACTAACCCTGGTATTTATAGTGTTATTTCTGTTTGTTTGTTGGTTGTCGATTGTCATTTGCAGTGTGTCATTTGTTCCTTACAGGTTAGTAGTGATTAGTAGTTACAATGACAAACAGTGAATTTTTGCATTTAAATAATTATTCTTTTTATATTCAATAATTTTCTATTTGAATATTTAAATTTCAATAACAATAAATCATTATTTTTGTTTGTTGATTGGATATTAAACCTCATTTGCCACGTGATTGTTATTGAATATCTCTTTATTATAGGATGTTTACACTTGATCTCCTCATAATGTTTTCATTTCGTCTTGAATGCCGTTTTCCATGTCTATGAAATTATATATTATTGAAGTTGACTGATTTGTTATCGAGTTAATTTTTGATGGAAACTTCAACTAAAAGAAGTTATTTAATCGTTACAGGAACAGCAAATTGACGATGCTGCTACAGGACAGCCTAGGAGGCAACGCTAAGACTCTAGTGTTTGTTAACATTTCTCCTGCTCTTTATAACGTCGAAGAATCCGTCGTTTCTTTGATGTGAGTCACGTCTCATTTCAAACATTTACATGTGTATCTATATCTATCTATTTATATTTAAATGCTGCCTCAATGGAATTAATGGTAAAAATTGTACTCAACTGGATCTTAACGATCTGTACTGGATTGTACTGGACTGGATCTTAACGATCTGTATTGATTGTACTGTACTGGGTCTTAATGATCTGTACTGGATTGTACTGAACTGGATTGTACTGTACTGGATCTTAACGATCTGTACTGGATTGTGCTGTACTGGATCTTAACGATCTGGGCCCATACTTTCAAAAAAAGTTAAGAGATCGTAAGTTCATCAGCCAATCATTGACGGCCTTTCAAGCCACTCTTTTAAAAACAGTTAAGAGATCGTAAGTTCATCAGCCAATCATTGACGGCCTTTCAAGCAAAATCCACCAATCATAGACAAGAAAGTAGAGCGTAAGTACTTACGTTCACTTAGCGAGTTTTGAAAGTATGGCCCCTGTACTGGATTGTACTGTACAGGATCTTAACGATCTGTACTGGATTGTACTGTACAGGATCTTAACGACCTGCACTGGATTGTACTGTACTGGATCTTAACGATCTGTATTGATTGCACTGTACTGGATCTTAATGATCTGTAGTTGATTTTGAACCCGCGCTGTTCTGCACCCCAGGTACGCGTCTCGCATCAAGCAGATCACCAACACGGCTTGCAAGAACGCCGACACTCGCGAGATCACAAGATTAAAAACGGTTTGAAAATTCGAGTATTTAAATCTTTATCTTGATTAAGCCTGGGATTTAGTTTGAATGGAAATAATTTTACTAAATTACGCGATTAAGAATCACAAATTTACCGTTAACTTCTAATGTTTAACTTTATTTTTATGAAATTGAGCTTCTTACCGAACTGAAGACCAAATTTAAGACTAATTTTATAAGATTATTTTTGAAAGTAGTTTAAAACGCAAGAATTTTGTAATTCCAAGACATCGCTAATAATCAAGCGAATTTATTTACTCATTTCATAATAATTTTGTATTTGCTTTTTGTTATTTACAATCCGATTTTCATTCTATTTCATATTTCAAAATGAACATAAGTTTGTGTTCTGCTCCAGATAATCAGCAAACTCAAGCGAGGTGAAGATCCCGGCGACGATTCTCTCCTCACCGTCGTCTGCTGAGATTACAGCTCCACGATATTCGCCAGTCGCCGTGAAAATTCAACTATTATATATTTTTCAAATTTCTTTCAGTTCAATTTCTATATTTTCAGTTTTTGCTGTAAAACGTTTTCCAATTTCTTTCAGTTCAATTTCTATATTTTCAGTTTCTGCCGTAAAACGTTTTCCAATTTCTTTCAGTTCAATTTCTATATTTTCAGTTTTTGCTGTAAAACGTTTTACCATTCTTTATTTGTTAGAATTTCTATTTTCTTCTTTAATTTGGTCATGTTTTCATTTACTTTTATACGGATATGGAATAAAATTTCTTGGCGATTCCGAGTGAAACTTGTGAAGGGCATTGTAAACTTCTGATATTTTTACACTCTGAAATTGTATGCTACGCACCACCGTAATCGTGGCCTCTCAGCCTTAATTTGTGTTGCTGGCCCATTGCTTACCAATCCACCTATTTGACATTTAATTGCTCTCTAATATAATCAGGGTGTAAATGGCATGTTTACTTTGCTCACATGCTCATCATCAAATTATGGCTGTGCTTTCAACTATTTAGGCAACGGTATACTTCTTGCTTAATTTGTGACCTAAGCAAGGTAATGATATAAGTGCTCGGAAAATTTAACTGTGACACTATAATTTCTGAAGAGGAACCATGATTGAACTAGTATAAGGTTGACCCATCAGAAGCTCATTTTTTCGGATGTAGTTCGTTGTTCGCCGGTGACGTCACTGATCTCAGTGACGTCACGGGCATTAACCAATCACCGAAATGCGATCAAACCAGTCAACCAATCCGCCATGGGAATGACGGGATTGTTTACGTTTCTCGATCTCAGTGACGTAACCAGAAAGCTGAACTGATAGACTGAAATCCTCGTGGGTCAACCTTATATAGTTCAACCATGGGAGGAACCAGGCCTTCTAATCGTTGCTACGTGCATTCGAATACGAGTTCAATCAAATTGTATTATACATGTGTGAAATCACTGAATTTATTTAGGGCTCGATCATTTATGTCAAGTCTAAATCGTTTTATTTGCATTTAATGAAAAACAGATGTAATAGTTTCTAATTTGAAAAAGTTATTTTCGTACTATATGTGACAATTTTATTATTCTTCAGTAAAGCTGTTATTTCATTTTCAGCCGGCATTTTCTTCGAATTTCCAAGTATCTGGCCGAGGAAATGCAAACGTGTACTTAGAAACACATTTATATCAATTTTTTATGTACGGATTGACAAACAATGCGTATTATCAACGTTCCAAGTTTCTCCAGATTCATGAACCATACTTTTTTTATATTTATTGTGTCAGTGTAAAATTTTATCAAATGATTATGGTGGTGATTTCTTTATTATGGATTGATTATTGTGTTGACGGAAGTGGTGATTTTTGTTGTCATGATCGAACTACTAAAAGTTCAACCATGGTTGTTATAATCCAGCGAATTTCGTTCCCTGAGAAATTTGTAATTACTCTGTGATAGCTTGACTATATTGTACATATATAGAAATTAGAACAAATTTAAACCTCGTTTTATTTTTCCTTGATTGAATACAACTGTATTCGGTGGATTGTATTTTTCGTATTTTAAAATGGTTGTTTCGTATTTTAAAATGGTAATTTATAATATCGGTTGTCGTATATTATTCATTTATGATATCTACAATATCAAAAACTGGAATTTTTGATGGCCGAAACGGATAGAAACTACGCCTAAATTCTAATGAAAGAAGGGACTCCCGGTCCCGTGTTTCGGCCATCAAAAATTCCAGTTCTTATCCGTTTGTGTGATTGTTCGCCGTACGGCGCAGCGGTGTGGTTGTGCATTTGGTTTGGTGGCGCTGTTATTGCCGCCATCGCTACCATTAGCTGGCGCAAACTGGTGATCGTAAATAAGAATACAATAATTTCGTATAAATTCTTCTTTAATTTCAGAGGTTTAAATATCTCCTTGAAGAGTGTCGAGTGGAACTGAAAATAACCGAACAACAGTTGATATGTCAAATGCGGCAATGCCAAAGCAAATGTCAACAAAATTATTGAAGTTTAGTGACACTGTTGACTTTGTTATGGAGTGTGGACTCTCCTGATCCTAAATGAATGCATCACCAGTATTATAATGATTTTGATGCTGATTTGCTGCCAAAGATCTTCAGTTCAGATTCTCTGCCATCGGCATCTGCACCCTAAATTAGAATTTTCCCCTCTTGTGAGTTGTGAATGAAATCATTTGGGGCCCTGGCTTAGTTACACTCTTTTTATAGAAATTGAATTTCACAACCTATTTGTACACTGTACAGTTTTATTAAAAATTAGATACGAGATAATGCACCAAAGACCTAGCAAGTATTTTATGGCTCTGAGTCTAAAAATGACAGGAAGGAGACTCATCAGTGATGACTCATCAAAGACTAATCAGTGATGATGGACTGAAAGTGGAGGTATGCTGCATTTCCAGATTTTGTGGTCATGCTTTCCGATTTGTTATGTTTACCAGTTAATATAACCCCTCTTGAATTCCACACTGCGCGATAGCTGCGTTCACGGTCAGACTGCAAAAGCATTATCATGTGTTACAGTAAAGACAAATGTATTATACATTGTTGCTTTTTCTAGGGTAAAATTGGAGATTTGGGGTAACATGTGCACATGACTTTGTAAATGAGTTTGCGGCTTGTTAATGTATTAGACGCTGCATGTTTTGTTGTTGAGGAGTTGGGACTTCAGCATTCTTATGTCTAAATAATGCCAATGGATGTAATGAACGTAAGAATCAACAGTCAGTGATATAAAAATAGGCAAAATAACATCAATGATAACGTCATCGAGTATTGTCTACAGCTCTACACTCGCATAGTGGCAAAGCAGAGTTTTTTCGGCTCTCCCTCAAGTTCATTTTTGAGTCCTTGTAAGGTTGTTAGTTACAAATTAGAAGACACCAAAAGGAAAGCGTTCTTATGAGACAATACCGTGCGTTAGGTCAGTCGTTAAGAGAAGGTCGTACCGTGAGCAACCCATTTCTAGGCCTAGTTAACCTATTGAGCCACTCTCTTGCTGTGCCTTGAGCCAACTTACACTGCCTTTATTGGTGAGCTGCTATATTAGACCAAATGTACCCTAGCAATAAATTAGCTATTTCTGTTTCAAGTAAATTGGTTAAAAAGTGATCATATATAGAATCTGTTTTGCGAGTGCTTAAGTGAGTAATATCAGTCAGTATGAAAGTACTTATTTCCAACATAGGGTTGCGGGTCACGAGAGTGAGCTGCCTCCGGGACCGTGTATTCCAAGTACTTGTTTGGACGGATCATCACGTGCTCCCTGGACCAGGGACGTGCAACGACCTCTGTCATCAATTGTGAACTATTTGATTGGGCACTCAGCTTGTATGATCATTCCATTGTTTCTAGCAATACCGTTTCATTATTGTTCTTGTTTAATAAATTAGTTTTGGTGGCTGATGTTTATTGCACCCGAGTAGCGAACCCGATGAAGTGTAAGACTTCATTTCAGTCCTATAAGTAGGCCATCAAATTATCATGGATACCAGCATTATCATACATAAGAATTTGGTTTAAATCTTGAGTAAATGAGAAAATTAATAATATACGTGTAAAAATTACTTTTTAAAGACAACACTTCTAAAGAATCCAGTGTTTCCAATGTTACTGACGTACAATGAATTTCTAATTTTATTTTCGAATATTAACCAAATTAATTTTTTCACTTTTTTTAAATATACATTTATTTTCAAAATTATTCATTCTGTCAATTGATTCGTGCATTGCCTCCAACTTCACACAAGTGTGCAAAATTTCAGATCAATTGGACAGGTAAAAGTGTTTCAAATATCAATTATAAGATTTGTAGCTGACAAAATTATTTTTTCAGTCTTTTAATATTAAAAAAAAAATTTTTAATTTTTAAAATAATTTATTCTGTCAATTGATTCATGCATTGTCTTTAACTTTATGCAAGTGTGCCAAATTTCAGATCGATTGGACATGTAGAAGTGTATTAAATATCGATTATAAGATTTATAGCTGACAGACAGACAGACAAACAAACAACAAGAAGTGAAGTTAAAGAGAAGTGTTGTAAAAATGAACTGATTCTAAAAAATTATACTCTACCGTCTACCGTAAATCAGAAATCTGGATTCTGAATAACATACCTGTTACATTCCATTTTGAATTTTTGTTGACGCCTGGACAATAGGATTACGTAGGCTAACTAAATTGTTATAATCCTTCTCACTAAGCAAATACTAGGCTACAATAGAAATTTGGTAAGCTTCTTGAAATTTTGAGAGCACTCGTTGACGTATGTAGAACTGATCAACACTGACGACACCACCTACCGTCCTGTACTGAACGAATTCAAATCTGTTTAGACAAGTCATGTAGACCGGACGGCTTCCATCCCAGATTACTCAAAGAATTAGCAACTATCCTGGCCGGCCTTTTGACGTAATTTTTTTCGAAAAATTTTGAACAAAGGGATCTTGCCGGCTGACTGGAAAGAAGCTCAAGTGACACAATTGTTCAAAAAATATAATTCAGTACTCACTGCAGTGAGTGACAGGGAGCGCATTTTCTCGTCGACGAAAACGTGAAGTCACGGACAGGCGGACAGACAAACGGACATGACCATAGTTGAATTACCATTAATATTCAACCATGGACATGACGAGCACAATAGGTCATTTTTTCCATAAATGATAAAATGCGCTAAAAAGGTAACAAAAGCTGCCCGGGCATCTATCGCCCTGTCAGATTCACAAGTGTCGTTTGCAAGGTAATGAAATCTGTTGTGAGGGATCGATCATTTGACTTTTTTTTAACAATTTCCTATCAGACTGTCACCATGGCTTTATTGCCGGTAGACCCTGCACCACTAACCTCTTCTCTACTCTGAATGGATGGACCCGCCTGCTGGACGAAACGCAGCCGTTAGATGCAGTGTAGCTCGAGTTTACCAAGGCATTTGACAGTGTCCCACATGAGCGACTGTTGCGTAAATCGAAGTCTTTGGGAATTGACAGTAATGTACTCAAATAGATCAAAGATTTTCTAGTCGCGAGACGACAACGTGTCAGTATTAATGGGGCCGTATCAAACTGGGCTTCAGTGCGCAGCGGCATGCCACAGGGAAGCGTTCTCGGGCCTCTTTTACATGTTGCGTTTATAAACGATCAGCCAGAAGCTGTGTCTAGCGCGTGCTCGATGTATGCTGACGACACAAAAGTTTATAATACAGTGAAGAATACGTCGCAAAATGTACAGTTTCAAGGTGATCTTGACAGGTTGGTTGACTGGGCTGATAAGTGGCAACTGCGTTTTAACGCTGACAAATGTAAAGTACTCTACCTTGGCAATTTATAATAAACAGCAAGATTACAGTATGAGAAGACATGGTTGTAACGACAGAGTGATGATGTCAAAATAAACAAATCCTATTGGCAAAAGATTTAGGAGTTTATTTGTGCAATGACTTGAAATATTCTAAGCATATTGAAGCTCAAGCNATAATTGAAGGAGTTATGAGTGCCACAGTTGAAAATGAAGTTCGAGCTCGCAGGCGAGTTCGCACGCGAGTTCGCTGAAGTGTCGAATCGGTTATTGACAGAGAGCTCATTTTCTCGTCGACGAAAACGTGAAGTCACGGGCAGACGGACATGACCATGGTTTAATTAATATTAATATTCAACCATGGACACGACGAGCACAAAAGAGCATCTTTTCCATGAATGATAAAGTGCTCTAAAAAGGTGACAAAAGCTGCCCGGGCATCTATCGCCCTGTTAGTTTCACAAGTGGCGTTTGCAATGTAATGGAATCTGTTGTGAGAGATCGATTGATAGATCATTTGACTGCTAATAATCTCCTTTCAGACTGTCAACGTGGCTTTATTGCCGGGAGATCCTGCACCACTAACCTCTTGTCTACTCTGAACGAATGGACCCACCTGCTGGACGAAAGGGACAACGTGTCAGTATTAATGGGTCCGTATCAAACTGGGCTTCAGTGCGCAGCGGCATGCCACAAGGAAGCGTTCTCGGGTCTCTTTTAAATGTTGCGTTTATAAACGATCAGCCAGAAGCTGTGTCTATCGCGTGCTCGAAGTATGCTGACGACACAAAAGTTTATAATACAGTGAAGAATACGTCGCAAAATGTACAGTTTCAAGGTGATCTTGACAGGTCGGTTGACTGGGCTGATAAGTGGCCACTGCGTTTTAACGGTGACAAATGTAAAGTACTCTACCTTGGCAATTTATAATAAACAGCAAGATTACAGTATGAGAAGACATGGTTGTAACGACAGAGTGATGATGTCAAAATAAACAAATCCTATTGGCAAAAGATTTAAGAGTTAATTTGTGCAATGACTTGAAAAATTCTAAGCATATTGAAGCTCAAGCTAATAAAGCCAATATACGACTTGAACTGATCAGACGCTCTTACGATTACATACTGTAGATGCCGAAGCGATGAAACTGTTGTTTGTAGCAGACCTGCGTCAGAACCTAGAGTTTGGAAACGCCGTGTGGTCACCAAAACAATAAATGACACAAATTTAGTCGAGAGTGTTCGAAGGCGTACAACAAGGATAATTCCGGGATTAAAAGGCAAGCCTTATGAAGAAAAAAAGGCAAGCCTTAAAGATTATGAAGCTTCCAAGCCTGTCATCGACGTCTGCTGTTTAACCTCATTGAAGTATAAAATTATACCCACGGTTTATACAAGGTCCCAGAAGGAATACTAGAATTTGAAACAAGAACCAACACCAGGGGCCACGGCTTTAAACTAAAAAAAACTGCGTTGTAACACATCAACGCGACAACATTTCTTCTCGCTTCGAGTCACCGACATGTGGAACAGCCTCCCTGATGGCATCGTTGAAGCTCCGAGTATGAACGCCTNAAATTTCTTCAAATCATACCTTATGAAATATTTGAGGGAAGACATATATATTACGAGTTAGAATAAAAATTTGTGACTAGATGATCATTCAAAAAACCAACATCTAACAAATTTCCTGAAACGTAAAACAAAGTATTGCACATGTAGGTGAATAAATAGCAACACCACGTAAAATACAATTGCAATTTACAGTCTATTACAAGTACAATTCTATTGCATTGGGATGCCTCAAAAATTTCAATTAATATCAAAACACCAATTTACGACTTTTCTGCAATTCGCCGCTACACGCATTAAGCAATTTGACATGAAACAAAAAACCTCTTACAGCGTTGCCTGCGAGCAGCCAAACGACTTTGCTCAAGCTCGTATCCCTGGTGGTTCCTCACGTCGCGAAGGAAGCTCGCGACGACTCGCCCCACTTGATCCTCACTCGCTTTCCGCTTGAAAGAAGTCAGGCTTGACCTTTCCACACTAACGCAACGACTTCCTATAAAAAAAAAATCATTTTTGTATTCTCCATCTGTTCATTTAAATGAATATAGATACTCGTGCTACTAGTAAACACGCTTAAATCATTACATACACACAAGAAGTTACGATCTGAATGTGCTTCAGGACACAGATTATGGTACAGTTTAGGTGCACGAAACGATTATTCAATAAAAATGCATTATATTCAATATGTTTTATTTTATTCAATAAGGATGCATTCCGATTCATGTTTTAGGCCGATAAATTAAACAACAATATATTGCATTGACATAAGAGATTTTGCTGCATCACTTACGAGAAGAGGAGCTAGGATTGCGTCCGCCATAGCTCCCAGCTCTGAAACACAAACGAGTAACTTGACGGAACTCTGGTTAATGCATATATCAAAATCTTAGTGTAGTTAGGCAGAAGTTTTTCATTTATATTGCTTCGATCTGTAATTGTTAATTGTTAATAAAAACTACGCTCTGGTCTTCAATCAAACCTATCAAATTCTATGACTATCGTATACATGCTGAAACCAAATACATAATTTGCGAACATTCCGGCGCCAATTCACTAAAAGTTTAATAGAATGAGAATTTTTTGGAACAAAATGGAGCGTAGTTGCAACTGCAAATTGCAGCTCATGCTTATGAAAGCCTAGTTTCGTGCTAGAAAAAATGCTACATTATAGAAAATGAAACTTAAAGGAACATTCACAATATAGAATATAGTCAATATATACTCAGGAATATTGCGGTAAATATATATTCTTTTTAAAATAAATTCCTGAATAGTCAATATAACCGACCTGACTTGCTTCTGACGCAGCCTTGTCTTCGCAGTCCGGACCTCTTCCCATCGGTCCGGGTACAGCGATTCGTCTGTGAGAGTTGGGCTTTCAAACAACTATTCTCTGAAGTTGATTGACGGAATGCATAGTAAAAATTTAACTTAATACTAAATTGTTACATGTCTCCCGATTGCAAGGAATGACTAATATTAGTTTAGGCAAAATATATTTTTTATTATTTTTATTTTTGAGCAGGCACAGTCATATTTCAAAATATTAAATTTATTAGTAACAAAATATACACATCAACTAACAAAAAATATAACTCAGTACTCACTGCAGTGAGTGAGAGAGCCATTTTCTCATCGACGAAAACATGAAGTCACGGACGGACAGACAGACGGACGGACAGACGGACATGGCGAGCACACTAGTGCATTTTTTCATAAATGGGAAAATGCGCTAAAAAGGTATAAGGAAGTGAAAGAAGTGTCCCTTATGCTAACTGTTAAATAAATAAAAAATTAATACCGAGGGATGAAATTTCGGGTATTATGATTAGCGTTAATTCTCACGAAGTAATTGATTACCTTCAATGGTGATGATATCTTCGACCCTTACTCCTTCTCTTTCGAAAGCTCTTTGTCGCAGTGTATTGCGGACTTCGAGAGAAAAAGCTCTCACTTTACACTGGAAGTTGAATTTCTGCGAAAAAGAAACAATTGAACTCTATATGAAGCAATTAATTTTTTTTCGCGTTGCATTCATAACGGATTGTTAATGGAAGTCATATGCTACCTCGAACTAGAGAAATTATAACATGTAAATTGCTCGCACACCAACGAAAGGCGAGGAATGCCCACACAATTCAAACCGCACGTCAATACGGTATATAGGATAGCTGACATGAATGAGAGTAACATTGGACGAATAAGTTAAATTAATAAACTAGTTATGCTTCAACTATGCTCCTGGTGGACGCCATAACGAAATATATAAATAGAATATATAAATATTTGCTACGTAAAGAATATCGTTCGTGTACAACCATGCAACTGCATTATTACTCTTCTATAATGGTCTAAGTGACTTTTGGCGATTAAAACACGAAGTGTGAAAATTGCGAATGCATTATATCGGATATCGAAATGTGGAAAAAAAACTTGTCCTTATCTCGTTCGTCAAGGTTTGTCCAGGAACATCATTTAATATTTAAACATGTACACTTATTTGGTTTTATGCAAGTTTGATCGAAGACCAGAGCATGCCTTTTATTAACAATCTTCTTGTTCGTTTTTTCAATGAGTCGAACCAGATTTCTTGCTGGCGTCGGGAGATCGAAAATATATGATACCTCTATGGAAACGTCAAAACTCACAAAGAAGACAACCCACTAAGGCCTATAATTTCGCAAGTAACTTCTCCTGTATACAAGACCGCTAAAGAACTGGACGCTATAATTAAACCTTATATCCCTAAGAAATACTCTCTGAAATCTAGAAATGACTTCTTGGACATTATTCATGCCTCGCACCCTTCTGGCCTGCTAGCTTCGCTGGATGTTACTAGTTTGTTCACTAACGTACCAACCGAAGAAACGTTAGAAATTATCATGAAGCATGTGTATTCGCACGAAACCCTGCCAGCCCCATCTATACCAAAAAAGATCTTAATTGACCTTCTTCGCCTCTGTACATCAGAATCTGCCTTCCGGACTCCTGATAACAAAATTTACCGACAAATTAACGGCGTAGCCATGGGATGCCCTCTAGGTCCAACTTTTGCAGAATTCTATATGTGTGAACTGGAAAATCAAGTGTTGCTCAATACACAGATCAAGCCTGAGCTTTACTGCAGATACGTAGATGACATTTTTGTTGTCATTCGAGACGAAGAGCACTTGATCGAACTGCGAAGAGCCCTGGAACATGAATCAGTCTTGACTTTTACCCATGAAATTGGACGAAATCACAAATTGCCATTCCTGGATATATTAGTGCGAATTGAAGATAATTCCTTTGTCACTAATGTTTACCGAAAACCTACCGATGTCGGAAAAGTGCTTAACGAAGAAAGTGAATGCCCTCAGCGCTATAAAACCAACACAGTGCGAGCTCTCATACAAAGAGCATTCAAGACCTGCACATCCGAGANATAACTGAGTCTATTGTGTAGAAGCGGCAGTTATTATTTATTCACTGACATCAACCATATTTATTGCCATAATCATTATTCTAACAATAATCTCTTTTGGAACGACGATTTTTGATCAAAATTCAAATTATGCCGTTAAAATACCATATAATAAATCCTCTAGTTACGTATCAACATTACTGTGCGTAGCACTATAAACTGACAATCAAATGTCGGTTGATTACGTTTGAAATTCCAGCGTCAACTCGAAAGCTCTTAAACAAGCAGCTTACTTTCACATGAGATCCTGAACTATCGTGAGCATTCAAAGAGTTGAGGCCGTTCATTGTTTTGCGGCATACCTGCAAATAGATTCAAACACATTTATGAACAACATGAAATTCAACTGCAAATTTGTTCTTCAACTGCAGCTATTTAAATTAAGATATTAAGAATATAAGTTAATCAGAAACAATCCAAGTATTAATATGATGTACATTGATTATTTTTTTTAAGCTTAATTTGAAAAAAAAAGTTGAAAAATGACTGCGCGTACACGCCTGTAATGATTTGCGTGTACAAAATTATAAAGAAACTGTGTCCTAAGCAATAACAGTTGGGGAATATTGAGCGCACATGACAAAGTGGTAGCCGTTTCGTTCAATAACGAGGCGCATTCAAATTATTACGCCTCCGATACTTTTTATTTTAATTGGGATTAGATAGAAACAAGCGGTTTATGTTAAAATGAGTCCGTCGGCTCAATGGAAGCACTCAAATTTAGCGATTTTTCATCGGTCACATTAGGCTCCAAAAGACGCGTTCGGAGTAGCCATGAAATCATTACCTTAATTGTGGCGTTTTGAAAACTGCGCACGTCTGCAAGGAGATTCCATAGAGAAGTGACACAAATATCATTGGTTTTGGGCGAGTGATAAGTGAGAGAAAAATTTGGTGCGTTATAACTTGAATGTACCTGGTATATAACGTTCTTACCTCACAGTGGAAATTCATTCTTCTGCTGTAATCTGTTGTTATGGAATAATAATCCATCACTCGGTCCTTCGCATCAGATGCGTTACTTTCAGGAATCCCAAACCAGACCAGGTTGGCCTTCCTACGTTCTCTATCAAGCAATTCACGTGAGCTGTCATTAGCGACTTCTGATAAATCAGCTGTCTTGTTCTTTACTTCCTTTTCTTCCGTATTTTTCAACAACGGAGAAGGATTTCAACAACAACATTAAAGGACAATCAACGGAGAAAATTCTAATTAACACTGAGGAGGTTAAAAATTAAGCTGCAAAACACCGACAACAGAACACAAAAGCCTATCGATTAACAATTACAAAAGGATACGAACTGAAGGCACTACTAAGGCCTAGGCTTCCGTCCAAAAATGTGCAGCAATTTCATAATCCTCAAAATCGAACCAGAACTAAATACCTAAGAATAGCTTACAGACACAGGTACGCACACTGTTCAGCGTTAAATCACACAGCAGAGCAATATGGTAGGGTAGAAAAGAGGCAGATTCGAACGATAACTCCAGCTGTGTTCGGCAACCCGGAGATAAAAGTTAGAAGACCCCATTCCGGCTTCGCGAATGCGCATCACGCACACCTATATTCATAAAACATGAAACACGTATTTGACCATAAACAGAATTCTTATTGCTGAAAAGAGGCCAATTCTGATATTATTCACGAGTAAATAACACCTGATAACAAGCGGAAAATTGTTCAGAAATAAAAGTATTAATTCTGTGGACTTATTTTCAGAGGATCTACCAAAGTAGGACAGAGTGCGATAAATAGTTTTCCTACTATAAGCATCAGCAACAGTTTAATTAATGAAAAAAAAATGTTTTGTTTCTTTAAAGACGTGGTTCGAAATAAACAAGATTCAAAAAAGTTTTGAAGAATAGTCAATAATGAACCTGAATCTGTAACTATACTATTTATTTTACTTAGCCCAGCCTACTTGGTTAGCTCGACATTTTTTTAACATCAAGAGAATGGGATATATTTCTGGGATCTTATTTCTGGGATATATTAGGTATATTAACTTGCACGTTTTACTCGTGAAAATTTCATAATTGGCTCCACATTTTTTATGGATAAGGATGATGTCCCAGCCAGAAAACGATTTTCTATAGTTTTTTAATGCAGTTGGACGCGGTGCTCATCTGAGTTCGTCGGAATGACGTATCGGAACTTTGACCTCCGGGTTGCCGTACACCGCAGGAGCTATTTTTCAAATCTGCCTCTCGCTCACCCGTTTCACTCAGCAGTGTGCCTTCACACTGAACAGTGCCACGTACCTGTGTTTGAAAGCGACTCTAATAAACTTAGTTTTAACCCTCTGTCTGGGTTGGTTTTGGGGATTTTGAAATCGCTGCACATTTTTACCGGAAACCTCGACTCAATAAAGCCTACAGTTCGTTCCCTTCGAAATTTTTGATCGACAGGTTCTACTGTTTTGTTGCCCGGTTTTTATTCACTTAGGTTTTTATCTCTTCCGTATTAAGTTATAGTTTCCATGATGATTGTATTTGAATTCCCTAAATTTTGAGCTGATGGCGGAGCGATTCTTTAAAACATATCTTCTTTGGAAACAGTTTGGAAAATCGCTCCATCACAAGTTCAAAATTTGCAGAAAAAAAATCATCAGGGGAACTATAAAGTAGCATGTGAGATAAAAACGCCGATTTTGCTAGGAACCATCTTTCTCAATTCTTATGGGCAGGGTGGCCCAATGCTTACAGTACAGAGTATCAGGATTGAAGCAGATCGAGAGGTATTGGTTCGATCCCAGCTCGGCGTGCCAGTTTCTGGTCAGAATCGGCGAGGAGGCCGGGCGCTTGAGCACAGCAAAATTGGAGCAGTGAATTGAGAGTTCGAGGCCGCAACTAGTTGTGAATGTTCTGTCGGCGAAGAGCCTATGGCCTAAAAACGCTATTATTAGGAGAATTTCGCTTTGTAAAAACACAGAAGAATGGCGCTGCTGAAGGATCAAAATACTCAGAAATTAATTATGAGGTATGCAGCAATCTCTATGGTTATGATGGTAGAATAAAATGTTTCTTTAGAATTTTATGCAACCATGAGAACAAGTTCTTGTCAACACTGATAGTTTCAGAAAATAGGAGAATCTCTAAAGCGCAGTGGCTCGACATCTCTAAAGCGCAGTGGCTCGGCATCTCTAAAGCGCAGTGGCTCGGCATCTCTAAGCCTACGTTCAGACTATTCAACGTTGCGTTAATTTCAACGTAGAATTAATTTTAAAGTTGGATTATTTTCAACGTTGATTAAATTTTAAAGTTGGATTAATTTTGACGTTAAATTATTTTCAACGCAGAATAAATTGCTTTAATTTCGACGTTGCGTTAATTTCAACGGTGCGTTAATTTTACCATACGCGCAGCGGTTCGTTATGGATAAACGAAGTTTCTTTCAGCGACTGTTTACTCGAATATGTACCTGTGAAACGAATATGTGCCAGTCTTCGAGGCAGTGAAACACGACCAGGGACACGCGCATGTATTGCAGTAGGAGGCCGACAAAA